CATAGGCTAATGGAGTGGGCAGGAGTTGCTGGCACCACCCCAGCAGCATGTGACCTTTGCTCTCTAAGGATAGCTGAGAGGCAGTGTCACACCCACTGCCAGCATAAACACTTGCTCTCCGAGGTAGCAGAAATATGTTCTCATCCCTTCCCTGTCCAAGTTTCTTCCTGAGATATGAGCGTTGCCTCCCCATGAGGAAGCCAATGGCCCTTGGCTGTATCAGAGCTGCTATCTGGCTGCCCAGAGTAGACAAGGAAGCCTGCTACTGCCCATAGCTGAGGGAGCTACTGGGGAATGGAAATGAGGGAGTGTGGGGGCACATATGGTTTTACAGCCAGGGCAGAAATCTGTTGATGTTGTATGGAGCTGATGTCCCTTGGGGTTTGTCTGTGTCAATAGGCTGCAGCATGAGTATTTATCCTGAACTGTTGTCCCTAGGAGGAGTTTAAAAACAATTGGTTTTTTTAGTCTTTACATAATACTGTCAGAAATGTTTGCTGAGGCCACTAATTTGCAAATCCTGTGATCTGGACGTCTAGTGGAGTACCTTTGGAGCCATATTTGAACAGGCATGGAGCACTTGGAAGTGAAAGATTAGCAAGGGTCCAGGATTGCAGCATTCACAGAGCTGAAATATCTTCTTCTCTAATCCTGCCTCTTGCTATTGGCCTTTAAAGCCATACAAATTTTCTATCTGATTTTTCAAACTATGTAATTATATAGAATGTCCTCCTAGCCTGTTTTCCCCTTTCAGATCAGCATGTATTCCAAAACCGAGGCAATGCCTGTACGCTTGAATAGTTCTGCATGCCCTGCCATAGAGCAAGGGTAAGGGAAGATTTTGCTGGTCAGGTTTGTGTAAGTATCATGCCTCAGGAATCAATAACAAAGGGGAATTCCTATAGAATTGGGCATGTGCATCTTGTGAGCAAATGGTAAATCTGCTCTTCACCTGAGGTTTTGAGGGTGAGCCTGCAGCAGAGTACCGCTTCTGGGACAAAAGGCCAGCTCTCAGTGGTTCAGGCACCCTGCCACAAACTGCTTTGCAGCTGGGCAAATACCTCGGTGCCCACTTCACTGGCATGGCCAGGGGGAACCATGCTATCAAAAAGCGACCTTCTACATAAACCCTACTTTAAATTGTCCCTAAGGAGGCAGAAGAAAGAAGCTAGCCCTGTTAGCTCACTCTGTTTAGACTTTAATTTCTCTCAGAGATAACAGTGTCTGCACTGATCTTCCAGAGGCCTTCACATGGAGGCCTTCCTCTCTGTTCCAGTAACAATAAACCTTGTCAGCAGACTGACAGCCTGCCAGATAAGACTCAGGAATTACAGCACATTGCACATGTTGATGGACTTCAAGGATGTACAACAAGAGAATGAGACAACTGGGAGTACTCAGTCCTGAGAAGGCTAAAGGCGGATGGGGGATCACATCGCTGTCTTCTACTACTCATTTGGAGAAAATCCAGCCCAACTTCTGGGATGTGAACAGTAAAAGGGTGAAAGGCAATGAGGAAAATTCCAGGTAGAAATCAGTGGGAAAAAAATTCACCATGAGGGGGGGTCAAATCCTGCGACAGAGGGTTTGTGAAACCTCCATCCTTAGACATATTTAGAGATTGACTGGGCAAGGTCCAGAGCAACCTTTTCTGATCTGATGCTGCTTTAAGAAGAGGTTGGGACAGAGACCTCCAGAGGCTCCTGTCAATCTAAATTGTCAGGGGACATCACAGAATCATAAAATGAGAACCACACATGAGATCTGTACTGTGTTGTACCACTGTGCTGCCATGATCAACTACCATGCAGCTGCAGATGCAGCCATGTATCTCTGTGAAAGAGGCTGCAGAAATCATTTTCTGAGAGAAAAAGAAAGGTGTTTGGTGGGTGAGCTTAAAAATAAGAGCTCACAGGGTTTGACTAGGCTGAGAGACTATTTAACAAGTCCATCCTACAGCTATTCCAAGATTTCGGAAATCTTCTATGATCCATGCCAATGTGTACCAAAGTCTCATGCCCTCTTGTCTGCACTCTGTTCTGCTTTCTTTATTTGATTGTTGTGAGTAGCTCTGATACAAATTCAAGCAAGGTTAAATCTTTCAAAAAAACCTGTGTCCAAATATTGTAAACTTGTGGGTTAAGGACTAATCAAACCCTGCTGTTTCACAGCATCCCTGGAGGATGTAGCAGGGACAGGGAATCAGTGTATTTACAAGGGTAGTTTATCTTCAAAATGGATCCAAATATAAACATTTTCCTTTGGCATATGGTGCAATTTTCTCCAGCCTTTAAATATATAATTGAATTCTTAATTTCATCTGAGGAAACAGTTCTTCCTAAAACAAAAGGGAAAAGGAGACTAAATGTTTGTTTCTAGTTAATTGTCCAACTCATGTGCTGTCTAATATAGCAAAGACTACAACAAGTAAGTCTCTTTGATTTTGGAGATCATGTAAGAAACATTTACAATCACTTTCTCCCTTCTACTGGAAGAATTTTGGTACTACTGAAATAGGAGATATTTTTTTTTCAGATTTGAACACACAGAAACATTAAGGCCTCTTAAGGTGGTTATCTTCATACCTTGATTAAAGTGTCTTATAACTGTTCCCCACTATGAAAAGTTGTATTTATTCAGACTGTGATTCAGAACAGATGCCCAAAAGTTAATTATTTAAGTCTTATTCCCTCTTGTCAATGTATAACCAGAAGAGAGAGGAAAATGTTTCCAAGAGGGAACAGTGTCTCTCACTCTGAAGACCAGAGGCTTTCCTTGACTAAATCTACACCTCAAAGTACAGTCTCTTTCCCAGAGCTGCCACATCTAGGCATTTTGAGCTTACAGGCATATGGTTTTAAGAAACACATTAATTTTTCACATGAAAAATACTGTGGATTTGGGGGGCAGGGGGGGGAGTTTGTTCTGATTAGACAGTAAAAGGTCCATTTAAACAATGCCTTTGCTTTTCCCTGCTTCAATTCTCATCAGTCCAGGCAACAGGGTAGACTTCAGAAAACCCTCTCCTAAATTAGAAAAGATCTGTTCTTCTCTTCTTGATCGTGGATAGCTTCTTTTTCCTGATAGCACAATTAAACACCATTGCCTTCTATAAAAGTACATTTTATCCTATCTAAAACTTCTGTGATGCAATGTTATTGCATTTAATCATTCCAGTACCATCATACAGTTTGTTCTCAATGCTGCTGGGAATTTTCCCTTCACTATTTCTCGTTCTGTCTTCTCCTCTCCTCTATGCTCTCTCCCAATAGCTTTTTCTCCTTTTGACAAGGCTAAGAAAATGCATTCTCTAACACCTGACAGCCACTGCTCCAAAGTGTCTGCCACACTAAGCACCAACAAAGTCAGAGGATCAACAGCGTTCCTGGACCAGAGGTTAGGGACACAGCTGTGATGGGACATGGTGGATTGCACATATACTAAGATATCCATGTATAGCAATTCTCCAACACACGCAAAATTTACAGGCTCTGATTTTCTAAAAATCCATTTTAAAAGTCAATTCTACAGCAAAATATCAGATTTTGGTGGCTTTGTTTTACAATGAAGTCAAAGAGAAGACATCAACATAGTTAAAAAATGACTATACCTTGACACAGAATATAGCATTGCTAAACTTTTAGATGCTGCTGAATCATGTTTTAGTCTGCAAATCCCATACCTGTGCAATAACTCAGAATTTCATCAAGCTGTTTCCTGGTGCTCAGAGGTCTGGTGGACTCTGGCCTTGTTGCTCATTGACACTGTTCTGGGGTGTACAGCCCATTCCAGCATCTGCCTTTGTGCCCCTTTGGGAACACCAAAACCAGCCTTGTCTGCAGCACAGAGGAGCTGTCATGCCACCCAGCAACCCCACACAGCAACGTCAACAAGAACCAAATGTGAAAATATTGGCTTTAGGTGAGACTGCAGGAAGCACCAGCAGGTCTGAGTGTGAACTGAGCAAACTACTGCTGTCTGACCACTGACGTTCACAAACGGCATTTCAGATGAAGGCTGCTATGCAGTGTTGCATAAAATTACCTCAAACTAAGCCAAGCATTTGGCTGAGTAGTACCTAAGAGGATGAAATCTCCCTGCAGTCCCCTATGCAGTACTCATTCTCATATAAGCACTACCCCTGCTGAACTTGGTCATTCTAATAGGCAAGCTTGGTGCGGGAGAGTGTTTTCTATCTTAAGAGGCTATGCTGTGTTGTCTGGTTTTATAATGCCTCTTTAAGGCATTTTTTTTTCTTTCCTAAAAGTAAAATGAAAGCCCTGTTACAGAGAACATCGCTTGCAGCAGCAGGCTTTGACCAGTTATTTTGCCTTGCAAAGTGCACAAAATTAATTTGCAGCAGCTTCTGATAAGAACATACAATGTCAAGGTCCTGCCCATGAAAAGCCAAGGAAAGAAGCACTGATAACAATTTTTTTAAAGATTTGTTAGTGTAAGAAAAGGATTTTCAAGGATGCTAGGATTGAAACAGTTGCCAAAACTTTGTCATCTGTGCCAGCTAGAAACCTTTCTCCTCCAACAGAAATGGTTTTGCTCTCCTCCTGTCCCTTGCGGGCCCAGTTTTGCTCTAAAAAAATAACAGTGTGGGGATGCTTCTTCTATAGTTTTTCTCCAGGGTTCTCTTTAATGAGTGAACAAAATCTATGATAGAATAAAAAAGGGAGCTTAGCAGTTAGTCATGTGAATGGAAGCAAAACATTTTTAGATATCCATTCCAGCTGTGCCCAAAATCAGTGATCCATTTTCCAGTGATTTCAGCCTAATTAATTGTGTTGCCAGGCTTCTTCATAGCTTCCTTATCTCTTAAGGTAGCTACCTATTTATCATCTTGCTTCAACAGGGATGTCTGTCTATCCCTGTGTGTGAGAGAGAGAAAATACAGCTGCAGCCAGCATGTCTTGACAGACCCAGGAAGGTAGTGCAGGTATTAGGAGCTTCAGGCTAATGCCTAAGCCCTACTCTGGTCTCACACTAGAAAAGAGTTTTGCTAGAACTGGAGAAGCAGAAAATACCTGGGCCTTTTCCCTGTGTTTTGAACATGTAAACAACACAGCTCACTGCAGAGGAACAAGCAGCCTTGTTTTAATTAGGTACACTCACACTAGACATTTTCAGAGGTGAATCTTTATCTCCTGCAGCTTTAGTTTGTCTTTGATGGTACATTAAACCATTTCATCACCTTGAATGCCTGTAGTATACAAAATGTATATACAAACACAAAATCCCAGAGGTTAGTTTTTGATTTTGCACAGAGTGAGGAACCCATGCTATAACAGGGAAGCACACTACCCAAAAAATAGAGTCTGCTCCTCAAACCACTCTAAATAGCTAGTCCTGCTATTTACATTTAATTCTAATGCTCCCTACCTCCATGTTGACACTGTATTACACAAGAAAGTGAAGCTAGAGAGAATTATCAGCATGAGGGTTTACTCTCCTAGAATTTAGGGCTGTGGGATCACATCTAGGCTTAGACCTCACTGCATCCAGAGCTCTCCTCTTTGTGAAGGGTGGTGGTGGTGGTATGGAAGGATCACATTCTTTTGCAGCAAAGGAGGCACTCAAGAGGGAGGGGGAGCAAAATGACTGAGGTAGTGCTCTGCACTGTATAAATACAGGCAAATCTCCACCACAGTCTTCTGCGTGTTAGAGAGGTGGAACCAAGGACTGAGGCAGATTTTTGTGGAGTTTGTTTGGCATTGAACTTGATTTTGAGCATTTTATGATTTGTTAATTTAATTCACTTACAGTAGTTTTAAAGTATTTTTCCTTTGCATGAAAAAATCTGTAAGCTACTTCTGAATAGCAATAGCTAGCAAAAGTGAGACATGCTTAAAATATTGTTGCTTATTGTAGAGATTAGAGTTTGTCTTTCATTAGTTTCTCCTTCTGGTAACATCCTTTGATTTGTAAAGACTCCAGAGGTTGATGTCATATGTTCATTCCCTCAGGCAGGAGGTGAACCAGCCTGCCTAAGCTCAAGAGACAGCCAGTTTGACACCGAGGAGCAACCCAGAGCAATGTCCCTGGCTGGGGTAAGCTGTCTGGTGACAGGAGCAGGAGGATTTCTTGGCCAGAGGATTGTCCGCTTGCTTTTGGAAGAAGAGGAGGCTCTGGCTGAGATCAGACTGCTGGACAAAGCCTTCAGTGAGGAAGCACTCGGCAGATTTGAAAGTAAGTATCATTTCATGAGGACTGTGTGTTGCAGGTATATGTGTTGCTGTCTCACGTGGATAGCTTGGAAGTCTTATCCTCTCCTTCAAACCAGCTTTGCAGACAGAGATTTTATTTCAAGGAAGTCTTCCTTTATCCCTCCCTCTCCCTCTGGTTCAGAAATCAGATGTAAAATGAAAACAAGAGTTTTCCTTGTCAGGCCCTGAGGCTTCTCTAGATTGGGAGAGAGAGACTGTTCATTCAGTAAATAGGCTGTCTTCAACCTGGCCTCTATTACAACAAAACTCACAGAGCAAAATTAATGTAAAAATCTCACTCTTTGGCTCAGGGGAAAGGAAAACACAAGCTTTGCTGTACTGGGCAGGAGGGCAGTGTTATCCAGAGCATGCTGTGCTGGGCTCTGATATGCCAGACTAGAATGCAGTGACAAAGTTGTGGGTGCAAATTCTAACGGTTTTCTTCAACCTTTGGTTAGTTTGGTTTATAGTGATCTTCTGACTGAGAGCTGTGAGGAAGTATTTTAAAAATTGTTGTTATTAACATTACCATGGTTTTCTGGGGAGCAGAACATTTGTGCTAAGTGCAGAAGAGATAGGACCCCTTTGCAAAGTGCAAGGCAAGACTCTGACTTCTTGAATGGATTGGAAACAGCACAAATGAGTGATATATCCAGTATTAGAAACAGTCTGTGGCAGGGAAAGCAGCTCAGAGTATTGTTTTAAATGTCCCATTTCCTGAGATACTGAGTACATCTATAAAAAGGCACAGAGGGACCAAAATTCAATCAAGGTCTTAAGTCCTTACATTACATTTACTTATTAATGCTTTCCTCCATCACATCTTCACCTCAGGACTCTTCTTTTTCTATACAGGCAGCTATATGTGAACAATTTTGGAATATCTCCATATGATTTGCTTAAGAGCTTCAATCTTTCTATAAGTCATTTAAACGTCATCAAAGAATAGTAACAGTGCACCATAAACCTGGTATAAATTGCACAAGCCTTTATGATCATTTTATAGAACTGAGACTTCTTCCTCATGAAATCTGATTCAGCATTTCACTGAGGATTTGCTAGATGGCTCTGAGCCTTGCAGCAGCCCTTCCTACTCTGATTTTTCAGAGCATTTCCACAGAGACAAAACCTGCAGCTGTAGTAGATGCTGAGGAAGCCAGAGTGTGTGTGGTTTAGCACTGATGCAGCAGGACAGCAATAGAGGCATCTGCATTGCTTTGGGCCATAAGAGCTTTGTGAGGACAATCCTAGGGAGTGAAAACAATTGTTTGTGTGGGCACAATCTTGGCTGAGCTGCAGCAAAGGTTTCCCTGTGTTTTTTTTTTCTTTTTTTAGTTAATAGGCAAGCTTTCTGCCCTCTTTTCTTATCCTCCCTTCTTCCTCCACTGAGCACTGCCCACATACCCTCTCTCCTATTCTTTTGACATTCCTGCTGCTTATCTGACCAGCACAGGAGGTAGAGAAAAATCAATTATCAAAGCATTTTTTCCCCCATAAACTTGCAGTAGGAACCATAGGCTGGCATTCCAGATGTGCTTAAACAGACCTGAACTGCTGCACTTTGACTGGCAGTTCCTTTGTCTGGATCAGCCCTTGTGGCTACATCTCCTCAAGTGTCCTACCAGAGCCTGTGCTTGGGACTACTTGAAATATTGCCCTGCCATTCCCTTTCAAGCTCTTCTCTATCACAGTGACTCCTATTCCAAGTACAGGGCTGCTACAAAACCTGTAGGGCTGGAGGCTTCTGACCTGCATTATTTTTACTGTGGAGGCTTTTACTTGCTACCAGGTGTTATCTGGATTTCTTGAATAGCCAGGAGCAAAGCCGAGTGGGTTTTTTTCTCACTAATCTCTTGAGCAGCTTGAACTTGCAATCTCTTTGCAGAGCCAGGGCAGAGACAGAAGAGTATGTGCAAGTTACAGCTCCTTGTGCCAGGAGACACTCAGGGACACCCCTTTCGACCAAATAACATTCCTGCTGAGACCTTGACCACTGCATTCAATCTGTGTAGAACAGTAGCATTAGCATTCTTCCACAGCCCTGAGGAGTTCAGGATGATCCAATTAATGTCAAGTGCTGTGAGCTGGAGTCTACCCAGTGACATTGTGTGGCTGAGAATGAACGTCAGGTTGAACACAGTAGTTTGGTGCCTTGGGTTTCCTACATCCCATCCCCACTTTAGATTTATCTTTCTGCCTTTTCTGGTCTTCCACTTAACACAATTCTTTTTTTGTTCACTACTGCATTGGCACTTCTGGCGAAGCTAAAACTCCAGTATTGTTCTAAAGAGGATTTCTCACTTGTCCTTATCTCACCCCTCTGCACATCTCTTCCCTCCTTCCCTGAACCCTCTTTTCATGTCATTTTTCAGAGACACATTTATGGGTTGTGTGATCCTTGAGCATTGAATGGTTTTGCACTGCTAACCCAATACTGATCCAAAATAGAAGGAAAGTAAAGGGAGAAGGAATGTGATGGATTTTTTCCCAGAACTCTTTCTGAGGAAAAATTGTTATCTTTTTGCTCAACCTTGCAGACATTAATTTGCCTTTATCGGGGCATTCAAAACAGAAAGGCAGTGTGGAAACAAGTAGCTGAACATCCAAGTAGCTGAAAGGGGGACAGAATAAACATTTCAGCATCTCTGGGCTAAAGAAGCAAATAAATTGCTTTACTCTTTACAAACTAAAATAAGATGCAATTTTAAATTTTCTCCCATGAATACACAAAGTAGACCATTTTAATGAACCATCCAGTTAATCAAGAAAATGGAGAGCTCTCATGAGGAATGCCTTCCCCCATGCTTCACCTCACAGATGCTAGGTCCTATCTAAAAGAACACTAAGAAATTCAAGCTAAGAAGTGCCACAGACACTGCTGTTTGCCTAAACTTTAACTAACAATAGAAAAAAGAAAGAGAGTTTAGGGCAAATAGTCTGACTGGATCGCTGAGTCAAACACTGCTCACAACAGGACACTGAATTTTATTGAGAAATCATTACACTTTCAAGCAAAAAATACCCCATAGCAAGCAGAGAGTTTGCTTACAACTCACAGGACACACACATGCTTTTTTGATGCCTGGGCAATGGTTTGTGCAGATGGAAATCAAGTTTCTCTCTGCTATCCACCTCAGACCAAAATCCTTGTCTGTCAGTCATTTTTTGATTCCTCTCTCTGCTTCCAAGTTCACCTGTAGTTTTCTCTTCACCCAGAGCAAAACAAGATCAATCTGCTGATCCCTGACATGTAGCTGATGCTGCTAAAACGAACAAGGCCCACTTACTGTGGCAATTTCTGCTGGCTAAAATCAGAGAAGCAGACTTCCTGATTCACATCACACACACAAACTGCAAGCCCAAGCAAGGCACAAAGCAGCTAGACAGCAGATTTCTAGTGACTGGTACCAAGAATCCCTGCCACCAGCTTTAAAAGGGACAGGCTTCCTCTGTACTTTTCCTGAAAGCTTTGATTTGCATGTGTAAAAACTTCTATTTTCCTAACTCCTACCTGGGCACTTTGATGACTTTGAAGAGGTGACATGTCAGAATTTATGTTGTGAAAACTATTTATGTCTATTTTTGAAATTATTGCAACCCCACGAAACCTTTCTCATGGAGAACATCAGCATAAAAGCTGTACAAAGGCAAATATTTATTAGAGCAAATCTAACTACCAGGTGCATAACAAAACCCTAGTCCTTATCTGACACTTTTGCATCCATATGAGTAGATTTCAGTATAAACCTTCTGGAAATGGAGTGCTAGAAAATGAATGCACTCTGTAAAATAAAGGAGCAGAAGAGAGAATGTGACAATGATGTGCTGAGAGGGCAGTAACTAGATTTAGTAACAGTTCTGCAAATGTTTCACGAGTCTTACATATCAGAAAAACTCTCTGTGATGAAAAAAAGCTCCTCAAGCCTGTTGCATCAGAATAATTGTTAAATCAATGCAGGATTACATTTCAGCATGCTATATAATGAGGTAAAACCATTTTAAAAGATATTCCCCCTCAGTTCCAGATCCCAACAGCTACCTCTCTCAATGTTTTATAATAAAGACATGGGATGAAATACTGCTTGCTTTGGAGCTGGTGATGCACAAGATTTCAGATGTGGCTGAGGCTAAAAGCTGTACAAATTGATCAGGTTCTTCTCTTATCTAAAAGGGGCATTTGATTATGGAGTAAGACAGAGGATCTGCCTGTGCTGCAGAGTCCTTCCCCAGCAGCTGTGCCTGGGGAGCCATCTAGTGCAGCCACAGCAGAGTCTCCGAGAAGACCCACTGTAATAACACCACCTCCTTAAAAGTTGTGGGTCATACTGAGAAAGTCCTCTCCTCTCCCATGGCATTGCTGCAGCCAGGCGAGTTGAATTCCCAGGAGAGCAGCATTGGCTCAGACTGTAAATGTCTCCAAGTGATCATCTTGCGCTGGCTCATTTGTTGGTGTAGTTCTGGGCTGTAGAAAAAATGCTTCTGTCCAGCACAATGTAGGGCAAGGATGGCTCTGAGACCTAGAGCTGACCAGGGTCATACACATTAGCTGCTGTGAAGGGAGAGGGCTTAAAAATTAGGAGTTAAAGCAAGCCAGGGCTGAGGTAGCTCAGGAGAACAGTCTTGAGAGTTCAGATAAGATGTGCGTGCTAAAAATGACCCCACAGCACAGATGCTGAAATGGAGTCAGAGCTAGAGCTAGAAAAAGCACAATAAGTCCTGGTGAATGTACAAGAAAAAGATGTGTCAGAACTGTATGTGATGTACTAGAAGAGCTGCAATATGGGTAAGGTCAAGGGGAAGAAAGTAGGTGTGAACACATTTCTATGCTCACATGCTGTGAGTGGAGAGAGATCATTCATCACCTTGAAGACAGGAGCATGCAGTGCCTGGCTTGGGTTAACACATCTATAGCCACACAGTTTTCAGGACATGGGTAACCAAAGCTACTCCCCTGTGAACTTTAAAATAGTCGCACCTGAAGGAAGCTTGCTATCAGTGGAAAATATTTCTCTTTAAAAATAAAAAAGAAAGAAATGTATTGAATATTGGCTCCAACTATGTGGTAGGTAATGCAGCATAGACCCTTATAGCACTGCCATTAGCACTTGAAAATACAGCCATTGGAAAATGCCTCCTGTTCCACCAGCCTTAAAATATCATTCCTGTGCTGGGACTGTCAGCACCTGCCAGCCAGGGTCAGTGCTTCACCACTCCTTTCAGTGCTCTTTTTAGGATGCCTGTAAACTCTTTTGCTTCATTTTCTGCTGCTCTTGCAGAGTTCAAGGGTAAGACTGAGGTGAAAATCCTGGAAGGGGACATCCGAGATGTGACATTCCTGCACCGTGCCTGTCAGGGGGTCTCCCTTGTCATCCACACAGCTTCCCTCATTGACACCCTGGGCCTCATAGAGAAGAAGTTGCTCTGGGAAGTCAATGTAACAGGTGAGCAGGTGAAGCAACTTTCTCAAACCCATGCCTACTATGTCCTGATCACCATCTGCTCAGGAAAGGGAGCACCTGACGTGTGTTTACCTTGAGCCAAGCTAACTGTGTTGTTCTGCATCTTGCACAGGCATACCTAAGAGTGCAAAGCGTGCATACATGCAGCCCTATGCAGTTCTGGGCCTCTCCACACCCACTCTCCCACTGCAGGTCACTGCTGGATCGTTCACTCTTGGCAACACTTAATGTATGCCCATCCTGAGATCTGCACAGGCTCTGCCTTCAGTGGCTACAGTCACAAACCCATGTAAAGTGGAACCTTCTGAAATCAATTCACCTCTAAAATCCCAATGCCCACCTCAGAAATCAGTTCTTATTCTCCCTCTCCACGTAGCATCCCTGCCTGTGTATGTTTTTCAGTTTTTACAAACACTGCCATTACAGCAAGGTTGCATCGATAACATCCCAGAGTCTGTGGCTCTTTGCTTCCTATTCTTTTTCTTCTTCCTTTTCTTCTTTTCCTTCCATTTGCCATAAGGTCTGGGTGTGCAAGAAGGCAGTTGAGAGGAACAAGGGCTCTCCCACCTCGAGTTTATAATTAAAAATTCCCCAACAAACTCAAAGCTATGGGAGGGAGGGGTTTCAGTGACTCACTGATGGGGTCTCCCCTTCTACTGAGGAACCCCTGTTCTTCCTGAAAAGATCAGATGAAGGGGAAGGTTTTGGCCTAGGAATGGCCTGTGTAGCATCAGTTGCCAGGAAATTTAAATGTATTTCCTAAAAGAACAACTTCACCCCCCTCTCTGTGATCCCAAAATTCTCTATGCTTTTCAGAGAACTGGTACTGCCCCAACCTGTATGCATGCTAAACCTCCCCGGCTGTGTTGCTTCAGCAACTTGGGCAAGATTTGGGGAAGATATTCTTGTTTATATGGATAGTTTTCCCAGTTCTTTGATCCTCTCTCCCACAGATACAGGACTCCTTCACAGAAAAATAAGGAACATACCTCTACAGGCACCACTTCACAAATATTGGCTACTCGCCAGTGTTCAGAGCAAGAGAGAATTCTTTGTAGTTAAGTTGTCTTTTACATGCACCTTAAAAAGAGTGAGATGGCATTTTACTTGTTTTAGCCTGACTTACTGCCAGTATCTTCTGCTTCCAGAACCTTTCATTTCTGCTCAGTCAAAGCCACAAATTGTCAGTGACCACAAATTAGAGACCAGTGGGCAGCCTCTTAGGTCCCTGCCAGGAGGAAGAGCAGAGAGCCAAGTTCCTGGAAACCTGTGCATTGGGTAGTTTGAAAATATACAGGGTTGGTAGTTCAGAAAGAGGATTTGTAAAGCTCTGTCTTTATGACTCTACTGCTGCTGCAATCACTTTTTTCACAGCAGAATGTGTTGTCTAAATCCCTGGGGAAAAATAATAATAAAAAACCCCAACAAAAAAAAAATCAAACAAACATTAAAATGTCCCCAAACCAGAAAGCTTTGTAAGCTCTGACCCTCCCTTCCCTACCCCGACACTAACAGTGTCTGCCCATGAGTGAAAAAAGCCCACTGGTTCAGTGAGGGTTACTGATAACATCTGCTAGAATGAAAGCACACACCAGTCCTGCTCCCAGAGCAAACTGACCCTGAGCTCAGTCAGTAAATACTGCTGTCCTCTTTTCCCTGTTTCCCTCCACTTTCGCTCTGATGCTCTTCTGGCTTTCTGACCAGCCAAAACTGCTATGTACTTCATAGGCTTGCAAGATGAAAGTTTTGTTTGTCCTAGAAAATAGAGATTTTATAATACAAATGTTTCAAGAAATCGGACGTGGATGTTCACAAAGCAGAACAGAAGAAAACAAGTTAAACTCAGCCTGATGCAGGGCTTTCATCTGTGTCACATGCCACACAATATTTTTGCCTCAGTGCAAAAATATCTTTTTAGGAAGGTAGGGAAGCAAATTTTTAAAAGGAAGGGAATAAAGAAACTAATGAAATATAATCTAAACAGGTTTGGTTTCATTTAACCTACTTCTCAGTTCAGGACAGGATTCTTCAAGCTGCAGAGAGAGGAGATCTGACCAAGCTCAGGCCAGAGATGTTGTTTCTGATCTAAAAAGCCCTCTTTTTCCTACTTTGGGAGCTCTAGATTGACTTGTGTGTTTCACTTGAAGGTACTCAGCTACTGCTGGAAGCATGTGTCCGCTGTAACGTCCAGCACTTCATATACACCAGTACCATAGAAGTGACAGGCCCAAACTGCAGAGGTGACCCAATTTTCAATGGTGACGAAGATACAGCTTATGAGAGCATCTCGAAATTTCCTTACGCCCAAAGTAAGAGACTGGCAGAGGATTCTGTGCTGAAAGCAGATGGCCAGGTGCTAAAGGATGGCGGCACACTGATGACTTGTGCCCTGAGATCCATGTACATTTTTGGAGAAGGATGTCCGTTTCTTCAAGGTCATCTGGACAAGTGCCTGTTGAACCAAAATGTCTACCTGCGCTTCTCCAGGAAGGAGGCTTTGGTGAACCCTGTGTACGTGGGGAATATCGCCTGGGCACATGTGCAGGCGGCCAAAGCCCTGAGAGTCCCGCAGAAAGCCAAGCATGTCAGGGGGAAGTTCTACTACATCTCAGATGACACTCCTCACATGAGCTACGCAGATCTAAATTACGAGCTGACCAAGGACCTGGGGTTTGGAATCGAGCCCAAGCTCCCCATGCCTCTGACAATGTTGTATTACTTCTCACTGCTGCTGGAGATCGTGAGCTTCTTGCTCCGGCCCTTTGTCAGATACATCCCCTCCACCAACCGTCACCTGGTCACCCTCCTGAATACTCCATTCACCTTTTCTTATAGAAAAGCACAAAAGGATTTTGGCTATGTGCCCCGCTACACATGGGAAGAAGCCAAGCAGTGTACTGGTGAGTGGATTGCCTCTGTGATCCCGCAGCGAAGGCTGTACTTGCAAAGCAATGCTGCCTAAGCCTAAAGAGAAGCTGAAACCCAGCTAAACAAGTAGGGCCTTGAGCTAGAGGAGAGCTGTGGAAGCAGCAGCAGCAGCAGATGACTACAAAGCATTTAAAAGAATACTTTGTGTAACAGCCCACTGCCCTACCCCCACCCCCAACCTCAGAATAAATAAAAGTGAAATGTTCGTTTGCTTATGAAATACAGGCTGATGAGAGTAACTTTACTGTATAGTCCACACACACTTCTACATCCTTGCAGCACAAAGATTTACTTTGATAAGATTCCACAAAATCCACGGTATGAACACATGAACCCTTCTTTCACTCCAAGCCACCTTTTCCACCAAAGCACAACTTTTCCTAGAACTATGATTTCTCTTTACAAATATGTGCCACTCAGCTACACCCTATTCACTCAGTGTCGCTTACCAACCTTACCAAACATGCAGCAGGCAGAAGCCACCTGATTGCAAAATCTGTTACAAATTTTTAAGAGCGTTGTGCCATTCACCTGGCAGTCAAACTTTGAGCCCTGTATGCATTGTGAGGCCAAAAGTGCAATACAGTTTCAGTAAGGACAGTGTGTGGAGGGAGAGAAGGGGGAGATTTGGTCAGGTTAATACTTCCTTGTAAATTCTCTTTTTCCTAGTTACAAATTTTGCAATAAATCTGACGGGTGTCCAGCAAACAGCTTCAAGAGAATGAAAGGGAGAAAAATACTACAGGACAGCCTTGGTCCTTTGCAGAGTCAAAGTATTTGTGAACACTGAGAAAAAGCAAACAGTGCTGAAAAAAATCATGCAATTACCAGGTTTCAGCTGGGAACAAAGGCTAACCTTAGGAGATAGGTGCACATGTGCTGTTCCCATTCTACTCTGATGGCCATATGAATTTCTGCAGAATGTGTAACTTGACTTTCAGGCCAAAAATGCAGATCTTGTCTGAACAAGCAGATGTCATCCAGTGTTTGTTTCTTCAGCGTATGTCTCACTTGTTGAAAACAACTCTAAGAGATGGGAATTTCTCTGTTCTGTTCAGGATGGTGTGAACAGAAACTTTTTACCTGACTGAGTACTAATGTAAATAAATCACAATTCCAGAGATGCTGACAGCTTAGTCTGTGCTGAGTTCAATTATTCAGTGTCCTAGACATTGGATAGTCCCAGTGCAAATATTACTGTTTGCTTTAGTAACATCTTTGGTTAACTGTGTAAGTTCTGAAGTAGTACAATACCAGACACCAGAACTTCCAGTTATATTCTGAGGACACAGAGATAAGTTTTCCAGTCTTCCATTGAAGGCCTTGTAAACACTCAGGAAAATAGAACTACCCCTCTATGCACACCCTGTTTCGCTCCACTCCTCTCATGTATTTTTTCCCCTCCAATCTCTGTTGAGCCCGCTCTGTTTCCCTCCATCGTATTATGTCAAACTGTTGCTGAGTAGAGGGGGATAATCATTGCCCTCCATCTACTTGCTGGCTATGCTCACGTTGACATAGCTTAGGATACTGTCCCACCACCTTTGCTGCTGAAGCACAGCACTCCCTCACATCCAGCTTGATGTCTACCAAGATTTTTCAGCAGAGCTTCCCCCAGCCAGTCCGCCCCAGCTCCAGCACACAACTTTGCATTGGTCACTGGTGAATTCTGTCAGGTTTTTGTGGGCCTGTTCCTCCAGCCCACATTGTAGCTCTGAAAGGTAGCTTTGCCTTCAAGCCTGTCGGCTGTTTCCCCCACTTTGGTGTCATCTGCAATCCTGCCAAGGCACTTCATTGCCTCCTTTTCTCACTAAAAGCCTCCTCTCCGTTCACCTCTATACGTACTCTTCTCCCCTCCAGAACTCTTCATTTCTATTTCCATTTCCATTCCCCTCTGGGCCTCTCTGTTTGAAGTCTATGGGCCTCCAGTCACCACCACTCATACCCTGCTCCTTTCCAGTTGCCAGCTTTCACTCTGTTTCTGGGAAGAAGGCTCTGAGCTGGCCACAAGCCTCCAAAACACTCCCAAGTACACAGAATTCACAGCCCTCTGAGTGCCACTAGTAAAGCTACAGGTCAGGTCCGTGTATTTACATATACAGAGTTGTCTCCAGGGTTGAATAAGGCTCTCAGGATTTATAAGACAAAACACTGCTGAAGGTGGTTATCAAACACCACTTAGAAAAGCAAAAAGGTGTTTAGCACAGTAACATCCATCATTTTCCTAGGCTAATTATATTTCATCCTAATGTTCAGTGAGACCTAAGTGAGGGGTGCAGCCATGTGTCTGTCACTGAAGTAGGAGTAGAAAGGGCAATCCAGGCACACAGAAATAGAGCAGGAAAGGAAGGGAGAGAACAACAGAAGCAAAGTTGCTATTTAATAGGGGAAGGCACTTAGCACATCAAAGAGCTGGAATATTACAACATATACTAGAAAACTGGGACATCTTTCCCCAGGTTTAACAGAAGTCCTAAAATATCCACAGATGCTACCAGAGAGAATAAAGGACAATTTTTCTTCTGCAGTTTAGTGATTTCTTTCCCAAATGCAAGCTCCCATTGCCAGAGTTTACTTTACCATTTTTGCCTTCTCAGTAAGACAGTGGGACATTTTAATGTCTCCAAGAGCCTTGCGCCCAACAATCAGATTTCTAAATGTTAAATTCTTTCTTTGCTGAGCTTCTTTCCTTTTCTTGATACCACATCCCTTCCTTCAATCCGATAACAAGCCACTCCTGCTGACAGGGTGCTTATTCCCCACTTGTGTTCCTTCTCTAACACCCCCTTCCACCTCATCAGCAACGTATTCATACTATGACAGAGACTTTCTTCTCACCTTTGTGATTTCTTCCTTCTTTTATTCACACTATAGAATTTATAATTGAGGGGGTTTTTTAAAGATGATGCACCAATGCTCATAGACTCATGAGAAATGCTGTCCTGCTGTCCATTTGAGGTGAAATTTACAGTTCTATTTGAGGTGTGTCTTGTTTTCGAAACACTTCCCACACTCAGCACACATAAAGAGGTTTTCTCCTGTGTGGACTCACTGGTGTCTGTTGGGGTAAGCGTTTTGTTTGAGGCACTTCCCACATTGGGAACACACACAGGGCTTCTCAGCCGTGTGGGTTTCATGATGCTGAGTGAGTGCTGAGAAATCCCTGAAGCCTTTTCCACATTGCATGTATTTGAAGGAAGTCTCACCACTGTGAGTTTTTTTGGTGATTCCCCAAGTGAGAGTTTCACTTGAAGCTTTTCCCACATTCAAGACAAGAGTAGGGTTTTTCTCCTGTGTGTATTTTTCTGTGGGAGTCCAGTGGGAGCTAACCACTCGCTGCACATGGAGGGCTTCTCACCTCTGTGAGTTCTCTGGTGTTTAATCAAATCAGAGCTCCGCCTGACAACCTTGTTACATTTGGGGCATTTGTGGGGTTTCTCTGTCTGGGATACCTCACACTGATGAAGATTTGATGTCTGACTCATGTATCCAGAGTGATTGTCACCTATAGCATCTTCTGGGTGGAGAAGGATGACACTGAGGCCCTCAAGAGCCTGTTCTAGATGAATGCCATCATCTTGTCTCTCCCCAGAGAACTCTCTCTGGTGCATCTCTGGCATGGGCTGGTTCTTATAGGCCTCTGCCTTGCTGCATCTCTGGAAAGCATTATCTTCAGATGCCTCTGGCAACGTCTCATATTGTTTCACATTCTCAGGATTGTCTGCCAGGGGACCTTCATCTTCATTCCCATTATTTACCTCCTTATCTTAATGAAGCCAGCAGGAGTGCTCAGTAAGAAAGCAACATAAGGACTTAAAGACTGTGAGCCTTTACTAAAGGAGAGTTTAAGGTTGGACTCAGAGGGCAACACAGGGATTCAGAATTGTTCCTATCCTTAATCTCTGATGACTAATGATACCCTGGACTTGCCTGCTAACTCAACAGAGAAGTGACTTTCTTGGCTTTATGTTACAAATGTACTGAATCACTTTGATATATTCCTCGCCTTTGGGGATGTTGGTGGGGAGATCCCCTCCCTGCCTTGAAAATGGCCATGAACAGCTCCTGCTCTTCTTCCGTCTGGAGACCAACTGTGAATGAACCCTGAAGGAGACTTCAGAACAGCAGGAATTACCAACCAGACAACCACTCCATTGGGAGGACATTCTTCAACCTGCAGGCTGCCCCAGCATTATCACTGCCCCATCCCTCATCCCACCACACAGTAAATTTGAGCTGTGCATATCCTGCATGGCAGACACAGTCCCCAGGGGACGGAGGGCAGGGAGGAGGACCCTTTGCCTTGCCACACAAGTGAAGAAAACTCTGCCCCACAGTAGTGGGGTGGGAGCGCAGCCTGAGGGGAACCAGCCTCCTGGGCCCTTCCCTCAACTCCAGTGTTAACACAGTGGGGAAAGTGTTTGAGAGAAGCTTTGATGTTGGGCCTGGGCAGGAAGATGGTGGCTCCCTCCTGGCCCACTCGTCCTGCTGCTCCCTTCAGGGGTTGATGCAGGAAGCACTTCCCAGGGAGCTGCCAGGTCAGGGGGCTGGTGGTGCCCAGTGCCTCAAGCAGCTGGTGGGTCAATGCCCCAGTCCGAAGTAAGACCTAGAGGTGAGGGCAAAATCCGAAACATGGTGAAGATACTTCAATTTGCAGAAAGAGCTCCCTGTGCTGAGCTTCTCCTAGACCCCTGGTGCTGTATCCAGCTCCCTGTAGCACCTGCTGGTGCAAAACCTGCCTGACAGCAGGAAAGGAAGGAAAACATAAGGCCTACATTATTTATTTTTAGTTGTGGTTTTGTGGTGTGGTGGGGATTTTTATGTCTCTAATTAATTCTTTGGTTTTTTCTTGGTGCTAGGATGCAGGGACGGCCAGCAGAAGGTGAAGTGGAGAGATGGATCCAAGCACCCACACACCCTGAGCACTGTTGGGTTTGCATCTGTGTTGTCTTTCACTTCAGGTGTCTGCTCAAAATGGTGGAGTACCTGTAATAAAAAATACCAAAATCCTGAGGGAATGGGTACCTGAACACATTACTCTGCTGCTCAGCAGAGAGAGCCTGTGCATGCTATTACCCAATAACAAACACAAGCCAATAAAGATATTCTGAGAACAGGCACGCTATCTGCAGAGTAGCTGATTTGCTGCACATTTACACTTCACTCTACTTTGTAGCTGCTTGTTTGTATACTCTTACACCTGGCAGGTTAGCAAAATGGCAACCAAAATGTACTTGATCAGTAAGAGCCTTATTATTTTTATCTGACCAGTACCATTCATCTAATTTAATTAGTTTGTTTGGCAATCAGTAAAGCAAACTATTGGTTATCAATGAAGCTCCACTGTCAGCAGGGTAGCAGTCAGTAAGAAAAATTTTGCTTCTGTAAACACACTGGAAAAGAAAAAAAAGTTAAGGCTCCTTTGCTGGAAAAGTGTTTATTTACCTACAGGTATACAGAAAAGGAAGAAGTAGCAAAGATATGGCAGCAATAATTACATGCTACAGACAAATTAATGACTTCTGGTTCCAGCAGGTGCAAAAAGCTAAGTTTAAAGACCATCATTTGCTGTTAATTTGTCACTAGAGAGGACAGAGAGTTTTGCTTGCTAAAAGGGAAGAGGAATTCTATTAATGTATATTTTTCATAAATTTAGGAATACTGAAGAAGTGCCAGAGGAACAGAAGCAAAAGTGGCTATCATGTCAGTATCATAAATACTTGATTGACACTGGTATCATTAATATAGGCTATAGTCAATGGAGGGCAGTTGGATAGTAAATGTCAAATAACATGTTTTTATGAAGAATTCATTTTGTCAGACAAGCATGACACTGGTATTCTGAGTGCATTGCAGATTTCAAATAATGATAAAAGTTTTGATTTATTATTAGATGAAGTCTGATTTACACGTTTTCATTTTACATTATGACATTAAATAAATCAATATAGACTAAATGATAAAAATCACAGAATAAATGTTTACTTTCTCAACTATGATCTTTAAATCAAATCTGCATTTTAATTTTTTAAAAAAAAAAAAGCTTTGGCTCAATTCATAGGCTTGGTGCAGAAACACAATGTGAAACATTATGCATAGCCTCTGTTATGTAGGAAACCAAGAGCAACAATGATCTCTTTACCTGAAAAATATGTTACTTATACATCTAGATATAACAGGTTATAGCAGCTGTGAAGCTAATTCCGAAAGTGGGAGTACAGTAGGATACATTTCAAAAGACATCCTTGTTTCACCAATTCTTGTCTTGACTCCTGTAGTCCCATATAATATTCTTCTCCCTCTCTAAAGCTCTCCATCTGCATCTCCATCTCAGTTCAAAATCCACTGGAGAAACAGACTTCCTGTATGGCTGTGCAATGGATATTCTAGCCATACCACTGCTTGCTATTTCTAGAAGTTCCTCATTCAAATAACTAAACTTCTCATATTTCTTAAATAAAATGTGCCTCTCCAGTACTAGCAACAAACACAGAATATTAAGTAGTTGAGGATTAATCTATGAAAGGGAAAAGGACACTAATCAAAAGTAAAGAGGATCTATTAAATCTCCATCTTGGTTCTGTTATAGGTGCCACTCAATTCTGTGAGTGTCAGCTGGGCTGGTAGGGGGTTTGTTGTCATGTGGCCAGAAGTTCCTGGCAGTGAGATGCTCAATTAACAAACTAGCTTGAACTAGGGAGCTCATGGGATGGGGCTTCTCTTCTTGTCAAACTCATGTCCCATCTGAAAAATGCAGAGAACTCTTTAGGCACCAATAGTATAATATGTCTACAAAGTGGCTTCTTCAAGTACATTTGTCATCAGTGGATGCACTTGCTTTCACAAATGCAGTCATAGGAATAGGTTGTAAAGAGGACTGTAGAGAATGAGGGCTGAAAGTTAAGCACTACCCTTCAATAGTACGAGTATCTTCCATTAAAATGCCCATCACTAAGTTCAAGATGGTCATTCTTGTGCCAGGCTTCTTTTGGTCCATCTAGCAAGATGTCTCTTGTCTTTGGGGCTTTCGAAATAAACTCTGGCACACAGGTACTCCTGGAGCAATGGTCTTTCTGGCCAGTCATAAGGAATAATTAAGAGATGAAAACTGTTCTACTCTGAGCACAGCACAGTAGGTTTTGCCTGTAAGCATTGTTTGAGGCACTGTTTTTGCAGTGTTTTTCTTGCTTCTAGGGACTTTTCCTCAGTACCTTTAAATTTACTAGTTATATATTTACAGAGAAAAAATAATTACTTTTATGATGATCTCATTTACTTTGACTTCTCTGTCTGTGGTGTTGCTATGAATGAGGGAAAGGAACTAAGAATATTTCACAGCAGGAGCTTGATCACCTCTGGTAACAAGCACTGTGATAAACTGCAAACTGACCAGGTCCCACCACAGGATGTAGATCCCAGCTGGGATCTCTCCACCTGGCTATACTGCCAGTGACTCTCTGCCTGGATTGAAGCTGTGGGAACTCCAGGGAGCAGGCAGAGGTGCTGTGCTATGCTGAACATCAGCGCCCAGGCTGATGGTGGCAGAGGGCAAAGCTTCCTGCTGTACTGGAAAGGCAGGTGGGAAGTGGCTACGGATAGATCTGGGTGGGGTCCCAGGGTAAGGACTAGGTCCACATTCCTATCTCATCACCCTTTCACGGGGGAAGGTGTTTTGGAAAAGGGATGTCACGGACCGGCCGCTGGGTGGGGTGAGTGCAATATAAAACTGTGACTTTTCTAGTGTGTCCCCTCCCCGAAGCTCCTGGGTAAGACACAGCGTGCAGAGCGGGACCTGAGCCTAGGACTTAACTCCATGGTGGCATCCTTTGCTTAGAAAAGAAGGAGTTTATGATCAGCTATTCGATAGGATTGATGCTTGTTTCACACCATTTAAATGGGCTGTCTCTGGTGGTCTGTGCCTCTTACTACCACAAGATGGTATCTTTAGCGATAGCTTCTCCTCACTCGCTCCGTGAAGCCCAACTTAATATTCTGACTGTGGAGTTTCTGTCATCACAAGGTCTGCACTTTTATCACAAATAACACAGTCCAAGGTTGCTGGTGCAGATTGCCTGCTGCTGGGTACACTGGACTCGGACAAACGGAGGCAAATGATTAACCTGATACATCACGTGAAGCATTCATACAACTAATATTCATCTCACCTCCTCTCCTGCTAGCATTCTCAGGTGCTTTGCAACCCAAGTCTAGCCGTCTTACAAGGCAAAATTTCACAGTGTAGCTTTAAGAGAATGGCTTGATGCATCTATTTCAAGAAAAGGTCTCAGGTTCATCCTCTAATTATTGCTCCAGTGGGAGTGATGCCATGTGTAGCTGTGACAACAGAACAGTTAGAGCACAGCTGAGATAGCGTCTGGAAGAAGGTCTCAAACTCAGAGTGCCACTGTCTAGTTTCTGTTCCTGTCTGAGGACAAACTGGTTCATACACTGGAAGTCTGCATGGGTCTGTACAAGCAGGTAGGTAGCAGAGGATTAAAGAATGGACAAGTTTCTCCCTTCCCTCTTCCTTCAGCACTCCTGCAGCAAGAGGTGGAATAATCATGGGTGATAGAGTTGAGGTAAAGTGTATGAATCCCGTTCATTATTCACTTTTGAGTGGAAAAATGATCCTCCTGCTCCTATAAGCATCTGTGGAAGAATCCAAAAGTAATTGTGAGACTCACAGTTATATCACAGAACATTTTACGTGCATGTCATGCTGTTGAGTGTTGTGTTTTATACTTGGTTATTGTGAGCCATCTCTCTAAAAACAGGATGTTGCCAATTGTTTGAACCAGAACAGTCAACAGGATAAATTGCCTGGTATGTCTAGGGAATGAAGACCCATATCTGCTTCAGATTTAACTTTTAAAAAATTTTGCTTTCCAAAGCAAGTTGCCCTTAATTTGTAGCAATGCTCAGGGTGAGCTTAATGCAGCAGTGCCCACTCTTGATCATTTCATGGTACTGGAACTTCTGCCAGATTGGGAGATATGCCAAGTCTTCTTTTCCTTTTATTTTTTAAGTGTGTTTTTCATCATTCTGAAAGAAAAGGAAAGGGCTTGGAAATATTAAACTCTCAGTGACTCAAAGGCTCAAGATTAAAAAAAAACAAACATAAATGAGGACATGGAAAAAGATCCTCAAACTTATTATTTAGAAGCAATCTCATAATTCTCACAGCCTGACTCAAGAGTTTTTGAAAAATCTAGGTTGTCAAGCAGGTTAAGTACAGTCTTTTCTAAACAGGAGCCAGTTGAAATCTCACAGAGGTTACCAGATCCTCCTGATCAGGTGTTTCTGCACCCTCCCAAAAAGAAGGCTCTGCATAGTTCATGTCCACATCACAAACTCATCTCCATCCTTTGTGTTGATTTCCTCATCTGTTCAGGGCAGCCTGCCGTGTCCCCTGCACTTGGCTGGCTGTTCTGAGCTTCGCTGATTCCTGAAACAGGGAACTTGACACATCCTGGCAAGTTACACAGAGGTGAGCGAAGGATGATCTGCATTTGTGAGGCAGACTGCAAGTGTCTGACATTTGAACCTAATGTTCAAATGTCACCAATCTGGAAGTCAGTCTGACACTATTATTAAAACCAAATCATGACTTTCAAATTTTGAGCCGACCAGCCTGGATATGCCTTGAATACAGAATACAGCAGGGAACAGAGAGGTGAGAAGGTGGTACCAGCACCAGATCACACCCAGCCACATCAGTACCCTTTTCCAACAGCTCAAGCTGGCAGAGAAATTTCTACAGCAGGGGTAAAATATGGATGTGGGCAGAGCATCTTTCTGATGCAGCTAACAAGCATCTGGCACTGCATATAGCCTGTTCAGAGGGAACATCTCCAGGGCTACATGCTGTGCTCTGTGAAGGGGTGGGTGTGCTTTCCCCATTGACTTCTATTAAGAAACAGCAGGAGCAGGATCTGGAGGAAATTGGAGCCAGCATATTGAAAGGTTTACTTAGGCGACACACTGGAAAAACAGCATCTGTGTATTATTTCAGCTAATAAAAAATGAATGTAACAATGTCTCCTGGATGTGGCGGTAAATTTTTCACTGTTGTCACTGAATTCATCAAAATTTGCTTCACAGTAAAGCAATTAATTCCACAATTTGATGGCCGGTGTGTATTGAAAGAATTTGGGGATTATTTTCCTGTGGAAAATTTCCACTTTAGTTGCAAAATATCTAATGAGAACCTGAAAAGCTAACCTTGCTGTGATTCAAGTAGAAATACAGTGTCTGAGCTTGGCATAAGGTTTTAGCAGACAGTAATACTAGTTTGACAAAAACGGTTGCCCAAGAAATACCGGTTCTAAGATTTGAGCACACTAACAGCAATAATCCATAGATTCTTTGAAATTATTTCCCTGGCTAAAGTGTACAAAATGCACAACCACATATCAGTGCAGATCTAAGAGTGCACTTGCAAAGATGCCAGAGAACTGTCAGGGAAATCCCTTAATGCGAACATTAATTAGTATAGAAATAACTCACAGACATAAAGCACTTCAAATAATAATGGGATACCTACCCAAACAAAGGACAAAAAGAGAATATAAGTGGGTGCAACAGACAGTATCTACAGAGATTATCTCTCTGAGGGTACTGATGATCTTCACTTATTTTGCTGTGTAAGAATCATTGGACAAAGCACTTTATTTGTGGTCTGCACCACTCTTTTTACTATCATATTCTTAGTTACTTGGATTTTCTTCAAAAAAAGTCTTGAGATAAAAAGAGATTGGTGTCCTATGAAGCACACTGTGCTTCAACACATTGCAATCTTTCTGATACAGCCACAGCAAATCAATGCTGAAAGATCATTGGATAAACATGTTAGAAAACTTAATAGAAAGTATTTTGATGAATTTCTACTTATCATTACTCAATCAGTGTAGCAAACATGAACAAATTGCTCCCATCTATGAAGATATGAAAAGTTTTGGTGGGTTTTTTTTTTGACCCACTGGCATTTTACACTTGCCCTGCCTTAGAAACAAATAACAGAACAAAGGAAGGGGATTTTGTAAATTTAGTTCTACATTCAGAGACCCCACAGGTGCTCTAGAATGCAGGACAGGAAAGGACTTCCTACATTCTTGATTCAGGTACATGAAATTGCAGGCAAGCACACATCATCTTCCCTTTCTTCAGCAGATAAACATGTTTTCTACTTCTAGGACCTCATCGTCAGAAATGATTCAGACATTGCAGGTATCAATTTGTGTGGGTTTTTTTGTGGCAGGTTTGTCCTCCAGGAAAAACAGCTTTTTTTTTTCTCTCCCAGGATGATCTATCACTTGATGTTTTGTGGACAGCAGTTATCCCCTCTGTCAACCTTCCATTTTGCCAGGCTAAACTCTTTCACCTCTCCTGATGCCAACTCTCGATTCCCTAGTAAGCCTCAATACTCCTGTCTTACACCGGTTCCACTGAGACAAGCCCTCCTAAATACAGGTGACCAGAACCATACACGGTATCTCAGATATGCTTTCTACAACACTGGCACTTCTTTGCTTTCATCAGAAATACACTTTCAATGCATGGATGCTTTGCCAATGCCATGAGGCTCTTTGACAGAGCTTGTTCTGCACACTGACAGCCTCTATTGATTCAGTAAGTGACTGGACTAATTCCTAAGAACAACCCCCCTCCCTGGATGTCAAGGTCTATTAAATACAAAGATAACCACCAATGGCTCATGAAGCTGCATATCATTCCAAGGTACATTGGTAAAGTATCAATACTTACTTTCTTGCTCTTCTGTAGGAATTTGCTCTTGATCAGACTTAAGGTTAGACAGATCTTAGTTTTGACCCAGCACATTTTTAATTTTCACTTGCTTTTTTTTCATCCTGCACTGGTGATCTGTGTGTTATAACTGACTATACATTCTGTATTTTCTCATCATTACTGATTTCAGACTGATGACATCCGAGATTATAGTGAAAAAGTTTGGTTTTAGTCCCTGGAGGAACAAGTTTGCATTTTGACTTTTTGTGTTCTTCTGTTCCAGGCCTCTAGATTATCTGATCCTTCATTCTCTTTATTGACAATTCTTTCTAACTTTTTCCTACAAACAAATTCTTCTTGCCATTACAGAAGATTTGTTCTAGTACCAGGATTCAGTGACATATTCAGTGACATTCATTAAAACACCTAGAAGTTTCCTTCTCCATTCTATACATCCATTTCTCCTTTATCCAGTTCCTTATCACTGTGCAGCTCTTGTGTTTGACTTTATATTTTTCAGACAAATTAATCAAGGTGCACGATTGCATACATTACTGGAGTTCAGTTACATGAGATGTAACATACATCCTTCACCTGGAAAATGACAGATCTCATAAAAAGTAGCATCTGATTACCCTGAGAACTTTGGTATTCCAAGTTAATTCTGCATCTTCAGGGACTCTTTAACTCAAAACACATTCTGTGACCTCACAGACGGTTCAAGTTGAGCCAGAAGCTCTGTAAAGGGATTCACAGGAATGCTGGACATGATCCACACACCAGTCATGGATGGGTCTATCTGTCCACATGGGAAATGTTCCAGCACCTCATCTCCTGGAACCCATGCACAGGCCTCTGCCTCAGCTGCTCTAGCAGACTGCTGGCATCCACTTGTATTCTTTGAGACTTCCTCCACTTATTTCCTTGCTCAAGCAACAGCTTGGGTTGGCGAACAGATGGGTGTACAGACATACACAGCACCAGCTTGTGGAAGAGACAACTTGAGGACATTCTTCCATTTTGTTGCTGTATCATAATGCAGTTCATACAGGACTTCTGTGTGACCCCATACCAACACATCATGCTATTTTCCCAGTCATCCTTTCTGGTTTATATGGTAACAGATACACATCATACCTGTTGCCTGTGACTACTTGTACAGGCATATAAGAAAGCAAACAGTGAAATTATTGGTACACATGGACACACAGTGCTTTTTTCTTCCTCCTCAAATCCTTCCCCAAATTTTTATCTGCAAGTAAGTTTAACTGTACGAGTGACCGTTCTTCTCAAACCTTTTCACATGGGAGTTGGCTCAGTCTGAAATATAGTCAAAAAGACTCTTGCTCTTCACATTAAAAAGAAGAACACCATCAACAACCTTCACACATCCTACATGTGAGGCAGCACAGATAGAGTAATGCTTCCTTTCCAAAGCCCACAGAAAGCACTGAGAGAAGCCAACTCCCTGAAGTACAAGATGAAGGCTAAAAATAGCCCATTAAAGGATTAATTTCAGGATTTTTAAATATAGCTAATTAATATGCATAGGAAAGGCACATGGTCTCCAGGAAGAAGCACACACAATCAGAGAGTCTGCAAGGGAAGGGAGGGGGGCGGGTGACATGCAGGCAGAGTGCCAAAGGAGAGATAAAAGAGGATATTCCCTATATATATCCCTTGGATAGAGAACACGCAACAAAAAAGTGTGTTTCAGAAGAGGTAGAAGCAGAGGGGTGAAACACTTCACTGTTGAAGAGGCAGAGACAACGCAGTGTGACCACAAAGGACAGGATCCTGTGTGAAGAGCACTAAGGACAGTCATGGAGTCTTCAGTATCATCCAAAATGTTACACACAAGGACAGAGAGCCTGATGGTACCAGGGCACAAGGTTTTGTGTGTTAGGGCTCAGTGGTGGAGACACTGTGACGTGAATAGACATAAACATGCTTTGATACACAAAGTGAATTTTAGTGAGGTGGCTTAAGGGCTGAGCACACCACAGAGAGATCAATGGAAGGAAAAGCTGCTGCTTTGGTAGTGACACTGCAGTTGGAAGCTAAGTGCATCATGAACATGCTTGCATGGAAAGCTAGGGAGCAACAGCTGAATGCAAAACTGGATCTCAAGATGGATGGCATGGCAGGGTGTGGACCTGGTGTCATGTGTTGCACTGGATTATGGCACTTCGGAAGCAATTTTCTCTTCTGAAGTAATACTGAAGTAGGTCACTGCAGCCTGAGGCTAAAGCACCCTCCTTGGGTACAGCCTGGGAAAGTTGGGCATTGGATGTAAAGCACTTACACAGGATGCACAGGCTGGCAGTCATGAAAACAAGGTACCACATGAGCAACATGGGTGACATCAGACAGTAAGGATTACCCACAGGTAGTGTGAATTAGAAAGCAAATCTGGTTATTCAGGGGCTGAACTGCAGAACAGAGAACTATAGCAGCAATTCCAGTGAATTTAAAGGTGTAGGGTGAAAACAGGCTCACTTGAAACCATTTCCTCATACCAGTTTCCCTGTAAATAACATTTAAACAATTACAACTCTTTCCATTTCACAGAGGGCAGAGGAATGGACAGACAGACTTAAGTGCCCAATTCACTGGCTACTTAGCCTCAAGAAAAGCTGGAGTTTTAATCTGGTATTGTAAGAAAATTCCACTTTCACACAAGTTTGACAAAAGGGGAGAAATCTCATGATTTTGTGGGATTTTGCTTTCACAGTTGCACAGAAACAGCCTCAGACTGCTGTGCATGCAGCTGCATCTTGAGAACAACCTGAACACTACAGCAACCTGTTAGAAGCAAGCAAGGTGTACAGGGGTTTAACTTTGCAACAAGGGGTCTTGATACATGTTTAAGTTGACAAAGTCCTTAGAAGAGCTGCAGGGGAAAGAAAAGTTGCAGCATCACCAAGCCTATGAAATAGGGTCAGCTTCACAGTTCAGTGTGCCAGGATGTTGCTGTTGGAGGCAAAGGACATAAACCACACCTTTTCACTTAAAGACATTCTTTATTCAATCTTTTTTATATACAATATTATTTTTTTATCTGTAAAAAGTACATATGCAGGATTCCAGGTCAGAGGCAGAAGGTTTCCACATCAGAAGATAGACTTTTAACCTTTTATTATTTTGGAGGAAAAATAATCTGTCAGTTTTAGACAAAGCAAGAAAAAAGGCAGAATGCAAATCCAACTTCCACCAAGCAATTAGGATTAAAGGCAACAATTCACTGTAACAAGTCAGGCTGTCTCCTCCAACTTTGGTGGTTCCCAACTCTTCTGGGCAATTACAGAGCAGTTTGTTAGAAGGCGATGACAGCTGGAGCAGCTCGTGCTTATCATCTCTGCTACAGTCGTACGTAACTTGCAAAAGAGCTTGGGGTTCCTCTTTGTATGGCAACACAAACCCTTGAGTTAGAAGACTGTTTCTCAAAATTCAAGGAGCAAAAGAGGGATGTCTTATTCAGGGTGAACAGATCTCCCAACTACAGTCTGGATCAAGAGCTTGCTTTCACTTTTCTCTGGTATCAAGAAGCCTGTTTCTTATTTGTCCCCTTAAAAACATGGACTAGACCTACCAGGCTCAGTTTGCTAAAAGCCTGTTACTGCAACCCTGAAAATGTAAACTGCCTAACCATTTTCTGTGGATGGCATCTTAGATTGTTGATCCTTTCAATGTTAATGCTATTAACCACCTCTCCATTCAAACTAAGGAGAGTCACGTTATGAAGGTTTATAAAGCATTTCCTCGGGGACAGAAGAGGGGATCATAAACAGCCCAACAGGGCTTTGCTTAGAGGACAGACCTTTAACCTTAAAGGATGGTATTACAGGGAGTATGTAATTACTGTCACTTTTTAGAACCCAGGTAACATTCAAATCCTGTAAAATACTGGTGGGTATACATCAGTCATTGGGAGGTAGAAGACAGTGATCCACAAATTTGGAAGATCATCAAAGGTGTGACTGGAACATGGAACTACTTGCTTTTCCTTTTACTCCAGGGCACCTACTATTTTCCATACTTTTCTGACACATTCAGTTTTAAGGACTACACTGTGCAGCAAAATTAACACAGAATATCATTCAAGGGTTTTGTTTTTATTTAGAGGACAAAGCTAAGAAGTTGACTTCTTGACCGCAGGACACACACAGCTTCAGGGTTGTTAATGGAAGCTGTAGAAATCTGGCCTCTTTGAAAAGTCAAGCTGTAATTGTTAGAAAATAATTTACTGCTGGCAGATCCTGGCCAACAGGCAAGTTTGAGGCTTGGATTAGGAAAAGAACCATACATCCTTGTTTTGACTGCATGCAAACAGGAAGTAGACAATTCTGGGATTTCCAGGCTCTTGCCCAAGTCCAGTATGCCAAAAAATGTACATGATTTTCTGTTCTTTATTTCATTCTGTAAGGGGAAAGGGTATTGTAGAAATTGGTAAAATGGGACAACTACCTAAAGAAAATGAGGATTGTTTTGTTAGAGAGTACAGTGCAAGACTCAGAAACAACTAGGACTAGAAAGTCATTTTGTGCTTAAATTTACACTTTTATCTTCAAGAAAGTAAGTCAGCAGCAACATAATGAAAATGGCAATATTCTGCTGTACCTTATGCACCCAGAGGCAAAACAGTCTGAACTTTGGGTTGCACACAATACCATTCTGCAGATCAGAACCTACTTTTCTGTAAAGGACTTAGAACAAGGGCACATAACTTCAGTCAGAAGTTTCAATATATGTGGTGCTTGGTTATTATGCACAAAACTCGCTCAGAACCCATTACCTCCAAACTCTGCTTGATCTAGGAAATCTCAGGATGAGATTCATGAATGACATAGCAATTAGTCCTTGAAATGCATTATTTTTGATAGACTATGCACATCATTAACTTCTGGAGGGAAAGGATAGTTGATATTTTAAAGAGTGATAAAGTAGAAACTGACTGCTGTTGGGGTAACTGGAAAATAAGAAACAAGTGTCCTTTATTTGGTACCTGCTGCTTATCTACACAAAGAAGAAATAGCAGTACTGTACATCTGCTTTGAGAAAAATACCATCCCATAACAGGAAATGGCTTAGTCCTCAATTCAAGGATTCCTGTGGCAGTGAGTTGACCCATTGGGATTCATGGAGGAATTAATCTGAAGGGTCGCTCTTTAATTCACAAGAGGGGGATGGAGGAGCAGCAACAATAAGAAGCTTGCTGTTCTGGGGACTCCAGAATTCTGTCCTGGACCTTCCTCTGAACAGACTGGCAGCCATTCTACATCTGCATTTACTAGGATGTGTATGGGCATGGCTTTATGGGTTGCTTTTATTTTTCTCTCTTTTTTTTTTTTTTTCAAATAAAACAGAAGAGTCTGCTTTTCCTCTTTCTCCTTTGTACCCAGAGAGACTTAGGAGAACAAGGTAACTGAGTGCAGTTTTTAACAAACAACAGTTCTCATGGGACTGGAAAAACAATTTGAAAACACAACGTATCTGAACTTTGGAAAATGAAAAATGACTAGTTCTTCAGTGAATTACTGAATAATAATTAGAAAAATAAATTAATGTGGGACCAGTAAGAAGAATCCATTTATTAACCTACTTCTAATTTTAAATTAAAAAATACTGGAATCAGTATTATTTACTATATTAATTACTTCATCAGCTCTCAAATTATTTTCAAGATACAGCTGCAATTACTGTAACTAAGTAACCGGTATTAAGATACAAAGGTTGAGATTGGAGCTTGTGGCCAGCTCCATGTCTTCTTCCTCTTAAACTAAAGTAACTAGCTGGAAAAAAGCATCTGATGGCATTTTTATTTAGATCATGTGATGACTTCTATATCTAAGTTAGTATCATAGACAAATGAGGAATAATTTTAGGGAGGAAACTCTACAGTCAGATATAATATGATAGGGAAAAAGGTTTTTATATATAAAACTTCATATAAAAACATTTTTGAGGGGGCAAAATAGCACCCTCCCCCTTTAGATCTGATGGTGCACTGCTGTAGCTCACTAAAGAGTTGATCTATGTCTGAAAACATCATAAAGATTTTTTAAAGACTCAATCTGTGCATGAATTAGGAGGGAAAGGAGCACCTAAAAGTTGTTCTTCAGCAAAGGGGCCAGTCATCATGGCAAAAAGATCTGAGAACTATACAGGGGAATAAAAAGAATAATTTGAGCTGGAACAAGAGTACGAAGAGATTGTGAAGGACAAAACTGAAAAGACACAAAAGCTGAAAAGACCTGAAAAAAAACAAACTTCTTTTGGCAAATAAGTGAAGACTGAAGCGGACTGCATTTAAGTGATACTGTCCAGCCCAGCCATGGAGTACTTGAAAATAACGCCATGCAGGTAGCAGCACCTCATTCCTCATAAATTAATGAAAGAAGAGACTCTTCAGTTTCTTTTTCCACTCATATGTAAGGGATGTTAAGTTGCATCTTAAGGAGATCATGTTGCATTTGTACTGGACCCCCCCAGAAGAACAGCAAGTTTTGTAAACTAAATAAAAGGCAATTTTAGGCTTCTGTCATAAACAACCTTCAAAGAAGGTTCTATGAATAGAATTCAAAGAACGAAATGTAACTTTTAGGAAAAATATAGATTGTGTAGAATAATATAAAGCAACAAACTCCAGCTGCTTAGCTCAAGAAGAGCTTTTTTTAGTTCCATATGTATCCTTCTATATAAATCACGAGATTGTTTTTCTTAAGTTGTCATCTCTGTTTATTTAGCTAAAAGAACCATGACTGAGAATGGTTTTTTTCATGTGAAATGATTTGTGAGGAAGGGAAGTTTAGGCTCCTTCCTACCCCTGCGATATACTCCAGACTCTGTGACTGTAGCTTGCCAAATGAACTAAGCCCACGCTGCTGACAGTGAACTACAAACCAAATGCTTACTAATTGTTTTTTCTTTCTGGATGTAAGCATTATTTTGAAAAGGGAAAATGAGGCAGTACTGTTTATAGTTTAGAGTTTAGCTTTAATAGCTTAGAGGCCCTGAGAATGGCTGCCAGTCTGGACAAACAGATGCTCCTTAGAAAATTCAGACAGGTACAGAAAAAAGTTCAAATCCTGGTGCTGCTGGTGTAGTGATGTCACTTTTTGTTTTTGTTTCGTTCATGCCATCATAAAAAAAAAAAGAAAAGAAAAGAAAAAGAAAACCTAGGTATTTGGAACCCACCCGATCTGAAGAGGTGACTGGTGTGTTGTTCCTTGCAACAGTGAACAGCAACAGCAAGTTCCTCTCCCCAGATGGGAAAGCCTCTTCTTCCTTAAGCTGCTGCATTAATATTATCAGTAGATTCCATGTCTTGCTAGGGTTCAAAGCATGTGAAGTCTCTGTCCTGCAAAAATCACGCTGACGTGTTTTGGTCATGTATAAAACAGAACTTTTAACTTATCTATATGTTGAAGAGCTTCATTTCTCACGCTGGTACTTGCTTGACTTGGAGGTCTAGTTTTACCAAGCGTCTGTCTGTCTCCTCTCCTGCTTAAAGTCTCAAGTGGTCCATGTAAACAAAACAGAGCTGAAAACAGTCTCTCTTCCTCCTCATAGAGCTGTTTTTATCGATATGCAGGATTTCCTGACAGTGTGGTGTTGGCTAAATGTAAAACAGGCAGAGGATGAGCTTCTGTGTTAAAAACCCAGTTGTCTAATGGTAGAAGATCATCGTTGGAGAAAAGCAGATACAAATACCTAAAAATCAAGACAAAGAGGAAAAATGGGTATTAAAGCAGAGCAACAGGCAGGCAGGGGCAACACAGCAGTGTCAGGCCCCACCATTCAGCAGCTAAAGATATAAACAAATTACTTGCTTTCAACCTTTGTACAGCACCCACATAACCTCTCCTATTATAATGACCTGGAGAGTCATTTTTATTATGATGAAGGCCTTCAATGAAAAGTTGTTATAAAGACAGCATTTTAATCTTTCCAAGAAACTCTTGTTTTTAAGTCTCCTTTCCAAGACTTGCAATGGAAAACAAATATAAAGACACCTAGCACAAGGATTTGGAGGACAGGGGAGCAGAGAAGTAGTTGCCAAAACTCTTCTTAACAGAGTAAACCCACTTGGAAATTACTAATCCTCTTTAAGCTAAATCAAAGATTTCACAGCAGCACAAGAAAAGCCACTAAGCCATGGCAGACACTTGACTTGTCATCACTCTTCTGGAAGCTGGTTCAGCTTCTGGTGGGAGGATATGGGACTATATACTGTGCAGAGTGGTTTCATAAATATTGTACATTGTAATGTAATGCAAAGAACATGAAGTATGTAACAAAATTAAGGTTATTGGACATACACGGGAAAAAAGTATTTCTTGTTTCTTTTTTCTTAAGACACACTGTTGAATGTGGCTGTGCTACACACTGTAGGAGGTATTGGTAGTGAAGATTTCTGTCAAGACTTCTTAACTCTACTGCTAAAATTCAAGACATTTCCCTTGTTACAGAAAAACTGACTGTGTGAGTGCAAGCGCAACACCATGGTGTACAGGACCTCTCATCTCCTGCTGCAGCTTGCTTTCCTGTCATCCAGAAAAAGTCTTGCAGCACTTGACAAGGAGGGGGTATCATTCCCATTAGTGGGTTCTGTCACATCCAAAATGTGCATACACATTGTTCTGCTGTTACTTCATGCTCTCTCCATCAAACACTGGTAGTGTCTGCTGCCTACAGTCATGTGTCACTGCCTGATCATTTCTCCCACTGCCTTTATTTGCCAGCTCTATCCACAGCACAACCCAGTCAGTGGAGCACTACTTTTTCCTCCCTTCCTCACCAATTAACTGTTTACGGATAAAAATTTCTTGCTGAGATGATTCCATTTTGTCGTGCATATCTCTTTCTCCACACTTTTCATTTGTCTTTAAAGCATCATGCCTTTCCCTTCCTCAATACTCCTGCCTTGCTCTCTCCTCTGCAGCTCTACAAACTCTCTTTTGCCACAGCAGCAATGTTTCATCTTACTCAAACTCACTTCCTCATTTGATTCACACTTTTTCTTTGAATAACTGAAGCAACCTATTTCTACATCTTGCTCCTTCCCACTCAACAGGTACCTTCTTGCCAGGTACTGCCCAAAACTCTCATAATTTCCTGTGTTATCCTTAATGACTCAAAGTATCTGAGCAGCAATAATGCATGTTTGGGAGAGTTATCAATTTTGAATTTAAGGGGAATGAAGATGCAGAAGTGATCATTAATAGCAGGAAAGGTTACAGCAGGCATTCCATAACACACATTTTATGCCCCTCTTCTAAGGGACATCTTCATTTTCCTCCTGGCATTACACCCATTATGTCTTTATTTTTATTTGAGCTATCTTGACCTTCTGTTCTCTATTTTATCTCAATGTGAAACCAGTTTCTGGTTTGGCTATGCCAATTGCATCACTGTCAAACATCTAACATCCAGCTTTTCAATAAAACTTTGTTTTGTCCCACAGTCAGGAAATTATCCAAACCAAAAGCCAATAAAAATTTCTGAGTTCTCTCCTAGAACTGCTACCTTCTGCAATGCTTGCACTACAGTATATCCAGTTACTGAGTGTCACATCAGTGAATTTTCAGATCTCCTTGTGATTATTTAAGATGCAGACAGGATTCTGGTGATACATCAGAAGTCAGCCTTGTCACCACAGAAGTCCCTTAGGAGCAGATTTCATTCTCTGATTTGGCTTTTATAGGCAGATCAACCATATAACATCAGCTCCTGGGGAGGTATTGTTTCTCTGACTGGACCTGTTTGAAACTGCTGCCTCTCTCTTTGGGAACATAGCTTTTAGTCTCCAGAAAATGAACTTGAAAGATTAAATGAAATAAAATTAAAAAAGTCAACAGAGCAGGTAGCAGTACTTGACTTTCTTTTTATAATGATAACATAGGGAAAAAAAGTATTGTGATTATGTAGAGGAATTTGATAAGAAGCCAGCAGATCGACACTATTCCCTTACAGATAATGAACTTGGAGTCCCTTCTTGTCAGTGAAACACATTGTGGTGCAAAAAATAGGCACCAGTACTGCCACTTGCAGGATCTGCTTTCTCCCCTGCTCCATTTTGTGCTCCCAGTACCACAAATTAATCTTCAGATACATAAGCTACAGCAAAAACTTGTTAAGCCACTGCATTCTTCTAGAACTTAGATGCCAGCTTTTACCGGGAGATGCAGGAGTGAAGAAGACTTACTTCAAGGTTTCAGCAAGGAAAAAGCTCTGCTGTACGTCATCGTATGTAGGAGATGAGGAATAGACATCCTTGACACCAGAAAAGCCACCACTAACTCGGCAATACTTGTCAATTGCCTGCAAAGAGGAAGGGAAAAGACATAGAGAATGTAATTGTAGAACAACATTTGGGAACATTAAAGAATCAGGCTCATTCAATAAAAGAGGTGGTTCTTTCCGTGCTACATTATTCTGCTGTGAATCTCCTTGTCAGAGGATGTTATGGATGTTAACATTTCATGCTGACCAAAAAAAAATAAAAAGGGACTGGACACATATAGAAGTAGCATCCCTCCAGGGCTACTAACAACACTGCATTTGGCAAACTGCTGCATGCTAAGAAAATATTCCAGGGAAGAACACTTTCTTTCCTGGGTATTTACTGTTGGCTGGTATCGATGACACGACAAGGACTTTTGTCCTGAGCTTCTACGGCTCCTCATAGGCAATATCGAGTAGAACATCCATCAGTCAAATCAATGCAATATGTACTACTGTGTGCATAGGAAGATCACAAGCATTCCTGGATTTTGCAGCTGGAAGAGTCTGAAGAGTTATAGGAATTCTGTGACTAGTAGTCAGTCACAGAGACTTATTGAAAGTACGAATAAAATACCGTACTCATCTTTAGCAACTGTTGATTTCATCTTATAAACTCTTCTAGTTGGTACTTTTTCCGCACATTTCCATCTCCTACATATGCTTTTCTCTGTTTCCCCTTTATAGAGCTGAAACTCAAGTCAGCTTGTGTGCTGGACTGCGGAAGAGCTCTTTTTCATTAAAGCATGAAGTTTAAAACTGTAAACATTCTATGCAGAAAGGGACCAATGGATCTGCGATTCACAAACCACCCAGCTCCAACACAGTACTGCAAAAAGCACAATGGAAGAGGAGGAGACTGGAAAGAACATGTTAGTAGCTCAGGGCACCTCTCGCCTACGCTTTCATTATTCCACTCGCATGCACGACCTTACAGCACACAAGGATATCAGCCATTAAAACTGGCTCCAAAGAAACGACTCTGAAATGATTCACAGGTTATTTGTGCCTCCCTGCTGCTTTGACTGTGCTTCCTCAGCAGACACCAACTCTTTTAATAGATTCATGCAGGGACAGAAAAGGAACAGGGGTGAAGGGAAATGTTTGGCTTAGGATGTCTGTCATTACCAATGACTGAACGCAGCTACCTGTAGTTCAGTAATCTATGATTCAGCTCGTTAGCCTGCATGAAGTTTCTCTCCACATGGTGCTTTAGGCCCAGGTTTTTGTTAATTCTGATTTTTGCTAGTTCTACTCAACAGAAGCTGAGGGGAGTCAAGGCAGGGGAGGAAATAAGTTTTGAATGATGTGCCTTTTATACAGAGAAAACAGATTCAATCAAAGCTACCTCTTCAAGGTCCTTACTATTGCCTTTGCATACTAGAAATACTGGGAAACAGAGAGTAATTTTCCATTGGACAAATGCACAAGGAATGCTAGCAGATGCCATCACCGAAATCAGGATGAAAAGTAAAAAGTTGAGCAAGATACCTAGGGCAGTAAGTCATAGCACATCAGGTACGACGGCTAACCTCCTGCTAGTATACACTCTTATTCTGTGGAAATGTGAGACTGTTCATAAAAAAAAGAATAATCCAGCCTGGACAAAGTTCTTTCAAGTTCCTAAAGAGCAAGGTTTTTAAAGAAGCAAGAGGAGATGTTACTGGGATGGTCGTGGCTCTAGAGCCTGAGCTTATGCCAAGAAAGATACAGTGTTTCTGGGTAAAATCTAATTCTCACTGTAATTCCTTATCTCAAGCACAGCTTTCTCCAAGCTTGAGAGAGCCTGAGCTCTCTTTTGGATGGCAATGATTGCTTTTTTGTTGGGATCTGAGTCTAAAAGGAGGAAGTGTCTGGATGAATTCTTTTCAAATCCGGTTACTGGTGCAGGGTAGAGCTACACTGAGACTATTCACATGCTGGGATTTGGGTTGACCAGGTTTTCTCTACAGTCTGGAGAGAAAGGTGTACATGACACATCTAGTTCAACAGCTCAGCCAACTTCAGAAGACATAATGCCTGTGGCTGTTTATGGAACCATTTGCATGTTCCTCTCCAGAAGTCCTACAGCCTCTAGGCAGGTGTCATATGAATAAACAAGAGCCAAAGCACTTTTCCTTTATAGGCAGGAAAGAAAGTGCCTCCTCTTGCCACTATCCCCTTTTTATAATACTGCAGAACACAACCTTGCCTCTGCTCTGAGGAAGGTCCAATGGTTACAACTTCTGCCAGAATTTTAGCATCCGGAGTCTGATCACGCAGGAGTTTCTCTAGTCAACCATTCAGCAACCCCGATGCTGTGTGCCACAGCTTGGAGAAGTGAAACTTGCTAGTGACTATGGCAAACGGAAAACAAGGAATAAATGGTACCACTGTTAGGACACCGTCTCCTTCCTCCTAAAGAATTAAATCCCCATGTCAGTGTAAGAGACAAATCTTGTTTATTTTGGAGAGTGTACATAATGCATAGCATTGAGATCCTGCTCTGTGCTGTAGAGGCCTCATGTTTGGGTAACTACGTGCAATGCTGGTGAAGCTAGCAGGCCTACAAGCCTGGAGAAAGAAAAAATGTGATCTATATTAACTTTCTTTTCCTTACGATGACCAAGTAGCCTTGTACCTTCAGAAATTTCTCTTTGGGAAGGCAGACTCTGGCTTAACTTGTGTTCAGAATGGGCAAAGGATTTACCCTGGTTGATCAGAGGTCTAGGCAGTACAGGTCATAATGAACTGCAGAGGAAAAAAGCCTCTGAAAGACTGCTATACAGCTATTCATCCAAATGTAAAATTTTAAAATATAAACAAATAAAGTGCCCTTGATTCAGACATGTACAGAACTTCAGGACACTAGCTGAAAAACTTGGTGCCGTAGACAAGCTGCTTAAATGCCACTTGAAATTTGCAGTGTACTGCTTTCACACAGACCTCAGAGTACTCAGTGTAGCAGCACGTGATCTGCCACTGGATATACTTTCACTCAAGAGCTGAAGCCCAGTCTGCCTGATGAAACAATGCTAAATTTACTGCACCCCAGAATACAGAGAAGCCTTAGATGACTGGAAGGGTATTAAGGTAATGCTACTATTATGAGGCTTTGGCAGACAATAATTTTACGATGGCATACCTGATGTTAGTTCCAATCAATTACAGAAACACGTTTAAAGATATAGAAGAATTAGAGGATAATTGACAACATGGTTTTATAGAAAACTATTTTGCTCACAAGCTTGATTTCATTCATTGAGAACTACAAATTTGACAAATAAAGGTAACTGCAGAGTTGTAATAAACTTAAATGCTTCTAAGGCAATTGACATGGTACTTTAAGATATTATCAGAAGACACTACAGCATATCAATATAATTCAATTTAAAGCTGACTGACAGTGCTCTAAGAACAAACTGTTAATGCAAAATCATCATGAAATAGAGCTGCTTTTCACAGAGATCCACAAGGAGTGGTCTGAAGTTTTATCAATCACTGCAACACTGCTGCTGGCAAAAATGACATAGGTAAATAACAGCAGTGTAATCTGGAGGTAACTGGGTGCCAAAGAAAATGAGTTTCATATAGTCCTAAATCTAGTCATAAAGGCTGTGTAAGTGCAGAACCAGGCTAGCCTGGCAGGTAGAGACACTTCAAAGACTTCCATGGCCACATAAGACCATTTAGTCTGAGTTCCTCCTTGCTTATTGTGGCAGATGCACACACGGGGATGGTAGAAAGTAGCAGGGATGTAGTTTTATTTTTGCACAGGGCTGTGGATGAAGTCAAAACTGGAATATGCAATTCTAGAATTCATTTTTAGAAAAGGATGATGCACTAATGTAGGTGCAGGCATTTGGAGAAAATACTTTACAGTGAGAGACAATACAATTTGTTTAGCATCTTAAGTAGAGTCAGTAGTAAGTTTATTACAATCTATGAAAACTCTTTGGAAAGAAAACGTGAGGGAAATAAAAGACATTTTAATATGGAATAGGAAGTCATAGGAAAATCCAGTGACTGAGAGCTGAAACCAAGCAAAATCCAATGGGAAATAAAGCGTGGGGTTTTTTTCACAGCAGAAGTAATTAAATAATGGAACAAACTACCAAAAGAAGTGGATTTTGTAGTTTCATCTATTCAGATTAGAACAGAAGAATATGCAACAGTGTACTCTTGACAAATACAAGTGTCTCAGGTCAAAAATGACACAAACTGAAATTTCAGTGCCTGAAATGTACAGGGAGGTCAGAACTGACCTCAGTTCCTTGAAAATAAAATTTGAGAGTCCTCTAGATTGGACCCCAGCTCCCTCAGTTTCTCTGAGGGTGTTGCATGTGTGACTTTTCTTGACTATGCTAACAACATGCCAATAAAAACTGTGCCAGTTTCTTCACCAGCTGTGGTACTCACAGCTTCTAACCCATGAGACTGTGAAACCAAGTTTCTTTTGCCTCCAACCTATGTGTGGCTCTTTTCTGTCTACCGTACCTCACTAGGTAGGATCAGAATGGCTTGGGTTGGAAGGACCTTAAAGATCATTTAGTTCCAACCCCTCTGCCATGGGCAGGGATGCCACTCACCAGATCAGGTTGCTTGGAGCCCCATCCAACTTGGTCTTGAACATTTCCAGGGACAGGACTTCCAAAACCTCTCTGAGCAAACTGTTCTAATGCTTCATCACCCCCAACAGAGAATTTCTTCCTCACATCTAATCTGAATCTGTCTTCTTTCAGTTTAAAACCATTGCACCTTGTCCTGTCACTATTCCTCATATAAGAACTCCATCTCTCTCATTTTTATGAGTCCCCTTCAGGTACTGGAAGACTGCAATGAGTTCTCCTCAAAGCCTTCTCTTCTACACGTTAAACAACTCCAGCTCTCTCAGCCCATCTTCGTAGAAGAGATGCTCCCGCCCTCTGATCATCTTCATGGCCCTCCCCTGAACCTGCTCTACGAGGCCCACATCCTTCTTCTGCTGTAGGTATTTTCATTCCATTTTACCATCAATCCTCAACTGCCCTGAAATTAGCCCAAGTTTGAGGTCTTGACCAATACAATTATTCTCACTGTTAGTAGAAACTCTGAACCTCTGCAGCCTTTGTGGCACAATCCTACTTAGATACAGAAGTCCACGAAAAATATTTGAACCTTTCATTCACACAGCTTAGATTAGTAATTGGCTTTACATGCCTATTGTGAAGTGGTGGCTCTTATTGCTTTCAAATAATCAACCTAAAAAGGATTTTAGTAATTTTCTGTATTTACCCTGAATATCTTGCATGCATATTTCTGTAATACTTCAGCCAGCCCCCCAGCACACCATCATCCAATTTGGCTGGCCCAATACAATTGAGATGAACGTTGTCTCTAGTGCTAAGTATAGTATCAAGGAGAATTAGCCTTTTATTATTAGGAAAGAGAGATCCTGTCACAGGGATTTATGATCACTGAGGGAATGTGAGATTGAACTTCCTGTTTTCCCCACCCCAGAGACACTGGATTTGAAGAGATGTGACAAAACAGGCCTTGGACAACGCACAGCATCTGCACTAAAGTGTCCAAGTTTTGTCCAAAAATCTAGATAACAAAGACAAAAAGAAGTTGTGAATGGTGAAATAGATAAAGTACAGTACAATGATCTGCACACACACAGAGTCCAGCTCCCCGTGCAGATTCTTATTATAAAAGGCAGAGAGATCTGGGCTGGGACTGCTAAGAAACTTTAGAAATGCAGTTTATTTAAAAGCCAGGTGATTCTGCAAAGTATCCTGGAACATCTCTGAAGAATTTTTAAAATGACAGAGGTAGACATCCACTAAGTCGGTGAACTAACCCAAATCCATTCTGGCAGGGATGTAATCATCCATTCAAAGAAGCAAACGAGGGAGACCACAAGAACTCAGCCATCAAACACCAAGTTACACCATGTTCAGTATAGAAAAATAAAGCTATTTAGAACTCAGAAACAAAACTCCATTTCCTAAAAAGTTCAAAAGAACTACTAGATTTCTGATGAAGAAACTGTCATTCACCACGAGAAGTCTGTAACACCGATTGCCAAGTATGCTTCAGAGGTTGAAAGGCAAAAGGAAAGCAAATTCAGACAGTGTTGTACAAGAGCATTAAGCCAACTGCTCTGTGTGTCACACCAGATTCTTCTCTATTTATAAGTGGAGAAATAAACACAGCCAGATCTGTGTAGGGTACAGAAGAAGGAAAAGCAGTGAGTAGGTGTGAGGAATAAACACAAGAAATTATTTTCTATGTGCAGTGAACAGAAAACCCTGGGGAAGAAAAAGCCTCAAGCTTCTGTGTCAGTATGAGGGTGGGGTAAGAAAATTTGTAATTGTGGGAAGGAGGGGTTTGCAAAACTATTTATGAAGAGGTCAAAAATATTTTATGGCTATGTTGGATAAAGAAATCTTTTATTAAGGAAACAAGCAAAAGAAGGTATTCTGTAAGGACAGAGGCAATTAGCACACAGGTTGCTTGATTTACAGAACTTTGATGTAGGTTGACAGAAGGATAAAATAAAATCCTACCCCTAACACAGAGAAAATTGGAGGCAGAAGGGAGGAAGGGAGTGTTTGTTCTGAAAGCATTAACAGGACCAAGATATGAAAGCAAATGGAGAAAACTGAACAAAACACAATTAAAAGATATGCTTTGCAGTGTGCTTAAGAGACTGATACTGTACTGAAAACCTTTATATTTGTAAATTCTTTAACCTAGTACAAAGCACCCAATCAGCTTAGATCATCCAGCCATAGTTTCTGGTAGGAGCTGGTGTTTGATGTTTTGGAGACAGCAGCAATGCATTCTGGAATACAAGTGTGACAAATGTGAAACCTCTCTCCAGAATAACGTAATGCCGGTTGTAACAAAACAGACTGCAATGCAAAACCTCACTAAGACACAACCATAATATACTTGGACTCTTAAAATACCTGGACTCTTCTATATGGTTGCAACTGTGCTGAGGGACAGATAATAATGAACTTGGCTAAATATTCTGAACCTGACTTAACTATCTTCCACTTGAATACAGGCATCTCAACAGATCTCTTCCTCTAAGTACTTTGTCTCAGTGTCTTGCATCTGGAGCAAAACTGGTTTTCACCTGCAAAATAAAGCTTATCCAGCCCCCTTTGTCTCTTCCTCTGCTCTTTCCTCATCTCGTTTGGCTGTAGTCAAAATATTTCATTACTGTCTTGTTACCTTTAATGTTTATTCTCATCTCTGAAACTGGCTTTGAGCTGTTTCCAAAGACTGCTGGAGCGGTAGCAGGGAAGCAGAGGCGCTCTCGGGGGCTGTGGACTACTGATAACAGTAGGAGTCATGACCAGTGGATTCTATTTCCATGCTTAAAACTCATGAGCTGTATAATGCTGAATGCATCTCTCAACTGTGCATCTGATTCAGCAGCTGTGAAACAGCAGTAACTGTGTGCAGCCCTTAGTTTACAAGAAATCACAACAATCAAATTGAAGCATTTCAGTACCACAAGAATAATGTGGCTACAAAGGAAAAATACACAAAATTAAATTAGAGATAATTAATACAGTTACCTGTGTTGCCTCCCAGCCCCACTGCCTGTACTTGGGATCATGGGTGAATCTCCACATATACCAGTAGGTCTCAATCACTTCTGGCCTTAGGATATAATACTTCTCATTCTGCCGCACTGCCACTGCCTCTACACCACCATCAAATTTGAATGCTTCTGGGCCCAGCTTTAATGCTGCAGAGGAAAGAAAAAAAAAAAGGAAAGAAGAGTAAGAAAAATTTATTCCATACCAATCTTTGCAGGAAGGATGGGTAGGAGACTGCTATATCCCAAGATTGTGAGAAAAACAGAAACTAGCTTGTCTTTAAGCAGTCTCATAAATATTTCCTATTGTTGAGGCCTATAATTTTTCTTATGAATAATTTATCCAATTCCTGTGAGAAAACTACCTATTTTGACAAGACTACAGTAATCCTCTTCAAAAATAATGAAATGCTAAGAATATAAACACACTAACACATTCAATTACAGGATAAAATTCAAGTGACCGACACCAGTTCTTTACAAGCAAAAGAGGAAAAAAAAAAAAGGGTCAACAGAGGTTTTGATGTCCTTTGATCCCATCTAGCACAGCAGGAAAAGATGTTGGAACTAAACCAGGTAGCACCATCCCAAATAATCTGTATCTTTACCTAAGCTGTTGGTTTAAGGAAGTGCTGCAAGGCCACTGTAACTGATATGCTTCCTGCTGTGATTCTCAAGTTTAGGGTTTACAACTGGGCAATGAAGTCTTAACTACACCTGAAAATAAATCTCCAAACTATGAGATTCACTATTTCAGCCTTTAAAGGAAGTTGTAAAGGTCTTGTGCCAGCATCTAGAAGACTATTCATATAAAAACGAGGTACCTGTAGAAAAACTGTCTATAATATGAAGTTGCAATCATATATATATATTTTATTATACAGCTACACATTATTCCTCAAATCCAACATTAATAATGCACTTTTATCTACAGCTGCACCTCACCTTTTGTTTTGGCAGAGAATTTTTAAGGCACTGAACTTTGAAGCTGCACTCCAGCTAATTAACTGTGTAATTCCTATGGGCTAGAGGTTCAAATTAGCCATTGTCTCATGGGCCTGAAAGCGGAACCTTAGAATACTACAACAAAAAATGTGAGCAACTCCCAGTGCATGCCCCAGCAGTAAATCTCAAAAAAAAGTCCCTTAATCTTCTTGTTTCAAGGGAGTATGGTGCTGGATGCCAAAAGAAAAAAGCACCATGTATTTTCAGCCATATACACTCCATCAAGAAACCTTTATGGTACTTCTTTCAAAACGGACCACTTTATCAGTTTCAGTACAAAAATTACACAAATTTCACTGCAAAATGATAGGTTAGATACAGAGTTCTACCTATCCAAAATTAAGAATTAAGAATGGTCATACCAGACCAGATGGAGTTCTTTCTGTTTCAGAATTATGTTTCCAACAATGCCCACAATCAGACATAGATGGGGAAGTGGAAGAACAGGGGCAGCATATGAGATACCTTTTTCTAGCTTTCCTACCAGTCTCTAAGTTTTTGAGTTCGAGGTTTCTCCCAAACTAGACATACTTTTTTTATGTGGTCAGTAATTCTTAATAGATTTATTTCTCAAGTACTTATCTGATGTGCCCTTAAACCTGTGTAAGCCTTAAGTATACAATACAACCTCTGCTAAGGTTGTCTCCACATCGCTAATACCTGTTTAATGCAGACCCTGACTGATTTTGCAAATCTGCTGTACCGCACCTAGAATGTCCCTTTTCCACATTGAATAATACTATCCAATTCTGCTGTAACTTGAATGGAAACTGTTCCAAGCCTTTAGTTTTTCTTCCTGCCTTTCTCCACAACTCTTCCAATTCTATTATATCCTTTGTAAAATGAGAGGACCAGCCTGAATATAGCAAAAAAAGTGCAGCCAAGATGAATACAGTGACATAATGACATCTTCTATTTTGTTCTTTCTCATTTTGTTTTTCCTGAGTCCTACTGAGCTGACATTTTCATAATCTCAAGAGCAATTTCCCAAATTATAATGGTCAGTTAACAGCTCATTATTTAATATGTGAGGTTAGGAATAATTTTTTCATAGGTTCTTCACTTTATATTTAACTACACTGAATTTAATTTAGTAATTTATTATGCAATTATTCAACCTCAAAAGGTCCTTGTGTAGTGCTTTCTTTGTTATTACCGGCACACGTACCTTACTGTTCATGGCCTTTTCTGATAATTTATATATGTATATATATTTTATTTATATACATATTAAAATGTAAATATACTACACATTAGTGTATTAATACAAGTGTATTAATATACTGTACTTTTATAAACATCTAACACATAATGTATATAAATACACTATACATTTTACACATCTATATACATATGTGTATAAACATGTATCAAATATATCAAAGTACCACTGGTTAACCACCACTTATCCATTGCAAGAGCAGACTATTTACCTCTACCCTGTTTGTTATACTATACCCATTTTTTTCCCTCCATGCAGGTACTTTCTGCTTATGCAGCAGCTGCTTAACATCCCTAACAGGCATTAGTAAAATACTTCTGAAAAAGCCTTTTGGAAATCAGGTAAACATGACAACTACTTTACTCTAATCCGCCAAAGCAGCTGGATTTCAGGCAGTTCTGGTGACACATCATCTACAGAAACTGTGATGCCTTCTCTTGCTTGTAGCCTGTTTGTGCATTAAATCTTTAATTATTTAATCATACCTATGCCTAATGCTATTGGGCACTATCTTTGTACTTTTCTCCAGGTGTTTATTTCACCAAACTCTTTTATGAAGCTTTCTGAAGGCACTATATGCCTTTGCTAATCTGTTGTCTATCTCTCCATCAATCTTACCATCCAAGGAGATGAGACTACATAGGTAACTAAACATGATCACCAGGTATTTACTGAAGTTTATTATAAGCATCCTAGGAAGACACAAGAAAGGACAGCTCTAGTTGGTTTCTCTAAAGAAAAGAGCTGCCTAACCCCAGCACAATCTCAGCACCTTTCTGTCTCTTCTGGGGATGCCAAATTGGGCAAGAGTTCTCCCAAGTCCATAGGAAAAACAGATCGACTCTCCCCTTTGCTGGCTGAAACATAAACCTATCAGCTGAACCAGGATGACTGTCTTCCCTCTGAAAGAGGTTTTTTTCTGCAATCATCTAGTTCTGTCATTAAAGTGTACAATTAAGTCTCAAATCCTGCTGTTAAAGCATAATGAAGAAGTCGACATTTCGCACATGTAAGTTCTTTATTTTCTTTGAAAAATCAGTCCAAAAAATAAAAACCAAAACACCCAAACAAAAACAATCCACATTCCTGGGACTGCATGACTGAACAAAAGAAAATGAGGGCATTGCAAATTTATAGCTGTCTGTAAAACTTTCAGTCTTGCTTGCATGTGTGTTCCTATACGGTCATTAAATATGTAATCAAAACTTTTATCTCCCCCATCTTTTGACTTATTTAGGGTACAGAATAAGCATCTGAAGGAATAAAATTAGGTCTGCTCAAACAACTGTAAATTTAGCATTGCTTATTTTTAAATGTTGAATTAAACATTTAAATGCAATTTTTCAGAATGCAACAATAGCTACTACGTCCTTCCTTTGTTCTTAAGCATCCTCATATTTTTTTTTAATGCTGTTGCTACCCAAATAAAATTATCACTTCTGTGACTGAATTATTTAAAAAGACAGGCAACTATACAATGATACTATGGAATCCTCTGAATAAATACATGAATTCTTATCTTAAAATTGCTTGAGTTTTAGTTACCATTACTTCTACTGCGAAGTTATTTCAGAAGCTCACTTCTCTGATGGCTACACACAGCCATTTCCAATTTCCAAACTACATTTATTCATAGTGAGCTTAAAAATCTTGCTCTTGTTACAACTGTGATCTTTTATATCTTAAAAAATAACTATTTCTTTTCAGTGTTTACCCTTGAGATGACAATAAATTTTGTCCCTTCTTTGGTATTATTTTTCTAGCCTGAGCAGGCTGATCTGTCTTAATTTCCCCATTGAAAGATACAAGTTCTGTCACTTTAATTATTTTTTTGGTCCTTCTCCTCATTTGTTCTGTTTGAAATTCAGATTTGTACAGAGTATTCTGGGTGACAAATTACACATGCCTTCTAAGGCAGTCTTAATATTATCTAATCTCTGTTGAAAATTCTCCTTCTGATACAGACTAGGACTGCACTGGCATTTTTCAACTCCCAGTTCAGAGAAAGAGCTCCTGCCTTTTTCTAGTGAACTTATTTCTGACAGTCCAGTTCTCAAAATCTTCCTGCTTACTGTTCTGAGACTCTTCCATTTTAATTACGTCTTACAACTTTGTAGTCACTCTAAGTGCAATCAGCACACTTCAATTTTATGCATCAAGGTCACTACTAAAGACATAAAACAAACCTGGTCCAAAAGACTGACCTTGAGAAACTTCCAGCCCAACAAGGAAGTCTGATATTGCCTCCTCACTAGTCAAGTCTTTGGCCTTCTCACAGTCTGTATACCAGTTTTCATCCTCTCTAGTTCAGTTGTACTTACCCAGAATGCACTATTACTAAAACAGTAAAAAGTATATTTACAAATTTTTCACTCTATATAACTGTAAGAACAATACACATGAAACAAAACACCCTACATATCTGTGAGGACAAGAGCTCACACAAATTGCTTCCTCCCTGTATCCATATAACCTATCTTCGCTGACTGACCCAAAAATAAGGATAAACATGCATGAAGGAACCATATTAAAGTCTTGTTTTACGTTTACTCACCATGATGTAGAGTAGAAGTAAATACATAGATATTAAAATTTACACCGGTATAAAACTAGAGCACGTTAGACAAGGCATAGGTCCATAACAAATCCTAAAAATAATTACAACAGTTGCTGTAGTCCAGCTATTGAAATAACTAGATTAACAACAGATCTTACTTGTCCTGTCATACGACTCATGACATGTATGTGCAATTTCAGCTCCAAGCTGCAAATAATGTCCAGCTTTATCATCTCTGGAACCATCTGCTCCAAGGGCAAACATTCCCCCTGCAAAACAGGTCAAATGGCCCATCTTTCTTTCAAGATGCCCGTTCTTCCACTCTCCAATGAAGGTCAGTCCTCCATTGGACTTTCTGATGAGATGTTTTTCTATGGCCTACAAAAAGATTAAGAGAACTTTCAAATATTGTTTCACATGCAAGCTTTACATATTAACTCTCCTTCAAAGAACAAAGTACTGTGTTCAAAATAAAAAAAAAAATTTCTCCATCTTTCAAATTCACTTCTGAGCAAATTCACTTCTGAGGAACAAAGAATATAATTTCAATGCACACAGAAAAACACCCTAACTGCTAACAATGCTAATGAAATCAAACATAGGAAAATCACAGCATAGATAACATTGTACTTTTAGTTTAGAATTCAGCACTTATTTTATGGTTCAAACAGTATTTGTCTACCTGTTACTTCTGAGAAGTACCCTTTTGTTCCTCTGTACACTCTGTGCCTACTCAGAAAACACGACCATGTTGGAAACTTTTGATCAGCAACATATGTAAAGGCAGCACCTGTACCCTCAGTCAGCGACAGGAATGCACCAGCCACCTTCTGGCTTCTCCAAAGCAGTTCACTGATTACACATGCTCAAATGATGGGTGAGTATTACAGCTGCTGTTCACAAAAAACATTATCATTTTATAAGTGAGACCACTGCTGGTTTCTTTTTGCACAGTTGTACCAATATATGTTGTTGCTTGTGTCTTAAAAATTGTATACTTCTCTTAGTAAGAGGAATAGCTGATCTAACTTTCCAAAGGCTGAACACTAGATGGAACAAAATTTGCTTAAGCCTCTTTCAGAGAGGTTCACAATTCCTCCCAGTCTGCTGTAGTACTTACTATGTTTAGCATTAGACACTCAAAAAGGTAATGAAAGAGAAGTGCTGGTCTGCATTCCTGTTGGGTTAATTTCTTCACTAATACTACTGACAGATCCGAAGTTTGTGCTTATGGCAGGATCCAGTGAGAAGAAAGCGGAAATAACTCACAGAGCAGAAATCAATAAATCTCTGACAGCTGACAGAGTGGTTTTCTAACCATCATGCAAATTGGCATTAAGGACTGGCATGATATCATAGTTTCTGCTGCTAGGGAGCCTGATGTGGTTAACTGTACAAGCCTCATTTGTTCTCAAAGTACTGGTACAGGAAGTACTGGATCTGCTGAAAACTGCCACTGAAAAGGATACTCAGATTTGTAAGCACTAACTTTGTTGATTCAATTATCCCAGACTGTGACAAAACTGACATTTTTTGACCATATGGTACTTAGAAGTTGAGTCCTCTTTGAAGGAAAGCCACTTTTACTATGAGGAGCAAGAGGGAATAAAAATGTATGAATTATTTATTTCCTAGAGGAAAACATTTTTTCCAAATGTTGTGTGAAATTCCCTTTTGAATTGTATCTTTTTGTAATTTCATAACTGTTGAGGAGTAAATGGTTGCAGAAGTTTTTCCAGTGGGACAAAATTGCTGTAGTTAGCACCAGGAGACCCAGTGAAGGCCAAATTTATACACTTGTCCATGAGCTATTCCTTTACTCCAGACTGGCTTTCATGGTTTAACTGAAGAACATGTTCCAGGTGCAAAGTGCCACTCTTCTGAGCAAGAGAACACAACTTCTGAACTTGAACATCATGGTCTTGTAGAAGGGGGAGTTTTTGAAATCTGAAAATCAAGTTCTATCAGAGGAGGTTTAGGTTGGATATTAGGAAAAGGTTCTTCACCCAGAGGGTGGTTGGGCACTGAACAGGTTCCCCAGGGAAGTGGTCACAGCATCAAGCCTGACAGAGTTCAAGAAGCATTTGGACAATACTCTCAGGCACATGGTGTGACTTTCAGGGATGGTTCTGTGCAGGACTAAGAATTGGACTAGATGATCCTTCTGGGTCCATTCCAACTTAGGATATTCTGTGATTCTGTGCAAGACCTGAATATTCTCTATCTGATGTTCACGCTTTCTGTGCTTTTTATGACTACAAAAATAGCATTTTCTGAGTTGACTTGCAGCCATACTTGCCATTTTGTGACAGGTAAGCACACTGCTGAATCTTTCCTTTAGCTATCCTAATGCTGTGCAATAAGAAAGGATGAGGATCAGATTTGTGGGCCTAAGAGATGAGACTACTCAAGGCAGCAGATCAAAAGAAGTTCCCTCATCCTCCAGCTGATGTGAGAAGGAGAAAAGACAGTTGAAATCAGACTAGAGGGGAGGTGAACACAATGGTGAAAGCAAAGTTAAGAGGCCCAGCCTCAATTTTTATCACCACAGAAAATTCCTAACAGGTTTCACAATTTCACCTTCTATCACAACTGTGGATCTATGTACCAGGACATTCCAATGAAGTGTCCTTTACAGTGGAAGACTGCATTAATGTTATACAGCACAGAGATGTTACAGATATATAATGTGTTCGTATCCTTGTTACAAAGTACACGGTGACCTGGATAAGGCTTCATATGCCATGGATCAGAAATCATGACATGTGAAGAACAGATGGTGTACTTTTATTCTTCTTAATACCTCCAAGGAATGAGATATCACTGCCTACTGCAAGACTTGAGAGTGAGGTTATGGTTGTCCATCTTCCACTCACCTCCCCATAATACGCTAAGAGAGTGAAGAGTGGCTGGACAGAAACACACTTTTAGACTGGTGGGTGCTGAGAACACTTCCAACTCCGTGGGAGGAATGTGTTCTATACCATTCCCCTTCTGCTTGCACAAACGATGCAAAGAGCTTCTGCTTCACATTTTGAAAAAACAAGAGTAAGAAGTGTTAGCTATGGAGGAAGACCTAAGTTATAGGCAAAAACAAAAGAATGGTAAGGGAGTGGGCTCTTAAAAATATTTTAAATAAAAATTCAAATTGCAATTACACAAAGCAAATCCTACTTAATAACTCTTTGCCCATGTCTTTCAGTGTGAAGAAGGACCTGGGAGAAACACAAATCCTGAAAGAGAATTATGTTCCGCAACGTATAAATCAGCATAGTTCATGCAGATTCAAATGTACAGAAGTGGGTTTAGCTGAGAAAAAGACTAAGAAACCATCTGATGCTTGGACTGCAGATCATATCACACATGAAGTGGGAACAGCTCAGCTCTTCCTCCCTCCTATCCACACTGTGTTTTCACTGGGTCCCAATTCTGCTTTGCTCTGTCTCCCTTCAGAGACAGAGATTTGCCCATACAAAAGGTTTGCAAGATGGCTTACAGTGAAGAGGATGAAAGGGAAAGTTTATTTCCTCTAATTTCAAAGTGCTCACAGTTTAGGAATCTGAATAAAATATTTCAACAGTAACCAGAATGGATTTTAAACATCAATTTCGAAACATTTTTAAACCCACAGGACCCATTAAAAGTAGCTTATTAAGAGTATTCAACTAATGTTTTGAACTAGTAATGATGACTTTAACAAACCCTGGAAAGCCAAGGAAGTTCAAAAGAACTGGGGAATAGCTGACGCTTTACCAGTATTTTAAATAGAAAATAAAACAATCATATAAAATGAATGATGTAATTTCAAAAATAAATATTTGATTGATACGTGTATGCTGATACTGGGAATATTGGGAATTTCAGGAATTTTCTTGGCATTTTACAATATATTAGTCCTAAACAAATTCAAGGCAGCACATACAAAGTGGACTAAAAGTTTGCTTGCTAGAACAGTTCAAAGTAAAAGAAAAAATCATCAAAAAAATCCTCATCTCATGAAGATTCTGCAAAGGTACTTTCATTCAACACTGGGCAGCATTTCTAACAACAATCTGGGAGAAAAATGTTAAAAAGAATTTGGAGATGACACAAAAATTGATACAGCTATAGATAGTGATAAAGAAAAAGTCAGTCCTGTAAAATCATACAGAATGGGTGACAAAACAGGTTTTGCCTGAACAATGTGTTGTAATAGAGATAAGGTCAAACACTGAGGAACTGGGAATGTAAATCACAGTAGTAGGAAAGCAGTAAATCAAAGACTATAACCAGCTTCAGAATAAAGCAACTGGAAAGTGCATGACGGTGTGAGGCAAAGGTTAAGAGTGTAAGCACAGCTCCTAGGCGGACAAAGAGGAGAAAACTGAGAAGAAATCAGGTAATAACACATTAGAAGAACCATTACCTGTTGTCTCCATACTGAAGACACTGGAAAGTATGTAAAAAGCTTAAAAAATAACTCAAAATCTGTTTTATACTGTGAGACTAAAGAAAATAACGCACTTTTTCTCCAGGAGAGAATGACTATTATACCTCTGATAGTAATCAGCTACACGATGCAGATAACACTTCAAAACAATGTAGGAAAGGAAAAAGTTCAAGTAACTCAAAGTCAAATATAATCAAACTCAGGTCAGGAATAAGACATATTACATCTTCGAAGTAATTTTGTCCTAGAACTTTCACTATATGTCTTTTAAAATGGTCATTTTGAGAACTCCAAGAACAGGTGATTTGCTTTAGGAGACCAACTGTACTAAAACTAAGTTTGAAAAGCTTGTGTTGAAAAAAACCAGGGCATGTACAGAGTATGGAACACATCAAGCACCAACCACACTTCTGCACCAGGACAAGACTACATGGTCCATGCTGCTACCACAGCTCACTTGCCTAAAATTAGCTTAGTTATGCTCTACACATCTTAACTGTACCTTAGGCACAGTGGCATAATGGGCATAAGAGAAGCTAATGAGAGAAGATGCCTGGATGTGGGGAAACTGAGAAAGTAAGACCTGGGCAGCATAAAGCTCAGAGCCACTACAAAAAGGTCCCTACCCCAAATCCTACTGAACCATGCTGCAGTACTGCCCTGTTTGGGCAAGCACTACTTGATCTGTGAGAGGGCACAAGACCATATCACAAAAGAACCATAGAGTAAGGAATAGATATGAACTATTCCTTTTACAAGATAAATATAGAATGTAATATGTAAATGCCTTAGAAAATAATATAAAGAATAAAACAGTTTGGGACTTCAAAGTCCTAGAATGATTCTGAACACTGGAGAAAAATTACTTGGTCGTTCTGCACATATCTTAGGGTTGCCAGATCTCTTTCTAATAAACTATAGCTTGGGATTTTACATTATACCATTTTGGACAAGTTGATTAATTTTAGTAAAATAGTCTGCATCAGATGTATTCCACAATAATGCTTTTTAGACTCTCAGAGTGAAAACTAGTATTTTGCATCACTTGATTTCTTAAAACTTACATAATCAAAACAAGTCCTGTGGTTGATGGTGGGTTTTTTTTGCTTAGTTGTTTTGTTTTGTTTGGGGTTTTTTTTTTTTTGGGGGGGAGTATTTTTTAATTTTTAAAATCATTAAAGATGGTTCCACTGTACTGGAAAACTCAATGAATTATAATCACCTCAATTGCATCGTCGTACATTTTTCTTGCCTCCGTGTCCATCTTGTCTGACATAAGCCAGGCTTTCAATAAATATTCATAAAAACTGTCTCCCAGCCCGCCCACGGATGTGTGATCTGTAGAAGGGAAAGAGGGAAGAGAACAAAAAAAATGTTGAAGTTGTTATGTAATAGCACCTTAATTTATTCAAAACATAAACTTATGTTTTTAAGGCCTACTGCTGTAGAATTAACATTCTAAGCCTGTTTAGCAGGACAAAGCTACACTGCACCCTATCCCCTCCAAACTTACTTCATAGGCATGGAACCTGCTGCATGTGTTCACTGTTTGTCATTCTGCACAAGGGGCTAGCCTTCACATTAAAAACGTACTTTAACCTCTAGTTTTACTTCTTAAAGAACCTAATTGTTCTGTTGCTAGGGTTTGGGTTTGGTTGTTTTTTTTTTTAATGTATATGTCAAAAACGTATGTAGAAAAACCCCTCAGATCTCTTTATCCAGGGTGTAACCAGGCTACATGGCTGGCTAAAAACTGCCATGAACTAACTACATAGAATCCAACCCTTCCAGGAGTTTTTTATTTCTAACAAGGTAGTTACTCGACAGACCAATGAAGTCCTCAAATTAAATGTTCTTATTGAAGCTATTTTAGTCAAAAGGGAGGCAAACTGCCTTTGCAGTTTACAACACGGGACCTGCTCTTTTTCGCCATGCCTGAGCAACCACACGGAGCCACACTGTGTGCAACAGGGTAAAGCTGCTTGACTATTAGAAGTCAGCAGTACCAGCACTGGACCTCCTGACACACAGATTTTGGTTTTGTCCTATTTTTTTTTTCTTTCCTTTTTTCTTTTTCTTTCAGAGGTTGCCTTTCACAAGTAGCATCATTGCTATTCTGTGCTGACAGACCCCATGAGATCAATCAACCTACACTTCTCTTTGGGTGAACTATTCCCACAAAAAGCCTACTGATGGTCTGACAGCCTCAGAGCTTCTTTTCCAAACAGGATAAGCACTCCCTAGTACACCCTTCATTCAAAAAGCAGCACATTCTGTGAGATTTAATAAGTGACTCCAAACAGAACACACATAACCTTTTCTTTCCTAATGTTACAGCCCTCAAAACACTGGCACAAGAACACAAGAACTCTACTGAAGCTAGACAAGGGAAATGTTTAACGCCAACATTGCCACAATGCCAGAAATTCACTGCCCTAAGCATGACTGTTTCAGTCATGCAACTTCCCTTTTACTGCGTGAAGGAAAGATATGATACTTCCTTTTACAAAATACCTCAAAAAAGTATTCTTTGCAGTTTTTCTAGAGTAAAGGTGCTAAAGAGGTCGAAACTCTCCTTCTGTTCTTTTTTTCTTCAAGCACCATCCTGCCCCAGTATGTCGGCTTGTCTCTGAAGATGTGAGTAGGAGGATAGAGCTGGTAGGTGCTGCTATCCTAACTCTTCTAGCTACCTCTTGGCTCCTCTGCTACTTACAAATGGATTTCTAAACAAAGGAAGGAGCAAATGGAGAGCCAGTAGCTTCCCCTTTAGTTTCAAGTTGTGAATTTGAAGCAAATTACTTCATGCCCTTCTCTTATACCTCAGAATCTCCTCGACTGCCTTTTCACACCCAGTTACTCAACGATTATGAGTTTTCATAAGCTTTCTAGCTCTGAGTTGTAAAAGGACAATCAGGTCATGAGTCACTTTCTCACACAAACACAAGGGCTAGAAATTACTGCTTCAATGTACAGTTACATCCTTAAGTAGACACAAGAACTAAGGGCCTGTGGTTTTCAGGAAAAAAAACCCCACAAACCATCACAAGACTTCAAAGTTACGACATGTTAGCACTAGTCAGGGGCTGTCTTCATAAGAGACATTGTTTAAAACTACTTGTGTTAAGCTGCTGAGTCCCCAGCTGAGGTCTGTCACTTCAGTCAGTGCTGCTCCTCAGCCAGATTTCTTTGACAGATGCACTCAGCCCACAAGGAGGACAGGGTTGTTGAACCCTCAGCAGGGTTTGTCTTGTAGCAGCTTCAGCTGGGTTCAGGGCAGGAAAGAGCAGGAAGATGAGTGAAAAAGGTTTATTTTCTAAACGGAGAAATCCATACTCCAGATGAGTTTCCAAAGCCAATTATCAGTAACATGCCCCATTTCATGTCTACTTCTTCAGGTAGTCATTTGAGAACTGTCCCTCTCCTGTCAGTAGCTCTTCTTCTCCTTCACATTGTCTCCAGCTGGGATGAGGCAACCCCAGATGTATGTACAGACTGAGATGTTGGAAAGCAGCACTGTGGAAAGGGACCTGGGAGTCCTGGTCAATGGCAAGTTAAATATGAGTCAGCAGTGCCCTGGCAGACAGGAGGGCCAACCATGTCATGGGGGGCATCAGGCAAAGCATCGCCAGTGGGTCAAGGGAGAGGATTGTCCTGCTCTGCACTAGTGCAGCCTCACCTTGAATATTGTGTGCAGTTTTGGGCACCACAATATAAGGAAGATATTAAGCACTTGTAGAGCATTCAAAGGAGGACAAAGAAAATGGTGAAGGGCCTTGAGGGGAAGCCGAGGAGAGGTTGAGGGCACTTGGTCTGTTCAGCCTGGAGGAGACTGAGGAGAGACCTCACTGTGGTCTTCAACATCCTCTAGAGGAAGCAGAAGGGCAGGGACTGATCTGTTCTCTGTGGTGACCAGTGACAGGACCTGAGGGAATGGCATGAAGCTGAGTCAGGGGAGGTTTAGGTTGGATACTACCCAGATTTACCCAGAGGGTAGTTGGGTATTGGAACAGGCTCCCCAGGGAAGTGGTCACAGCACTGAGGCTGCCAGAGTTCAAGAAGCATTTGGATGACATTCCCAGGCACATGGTGTGATTCCTGAGGATGGTCCTGTGCAGGGCTAAGGGTTGGACTCAGTGATGACTGAGTGATCTTCGTGGCTCCCTTCGAACTCAGCATATTCTGTAATTCTGTTTCTTATCTTAGATAAAAATAAAGGGAACACAGGAACCAGTAGCATCAGGAGACACAGGACTCAGAGCCATCCCCTAGACAGCTTTTTTTGCACCTTTTTCATGTAGTTCAGAGAATAGAGCTGCATAAGACTCTCAGATACAGATCCTACTCCCACTCAGCAAGTGAGAAACAAACGTGGTAAGAAGCTAACGCCTTCCAAGGGCCTTGCAACTCCCAGTAGAAATGTTTTCCTTACTCCTTTATTGCATACCTCACTCCAGCTCTGACCTGCCAAAAAGTTTTCAAGGCTCCTCTCTCATTCAGCAGTGGGCTCCTCCACTCCCCAGCTGATGCCTTTCACAGAGAGACCAGAGGGAAGACCTATCAAAAAGGGCAAAATGATTCTGTTCCTTCACTTTGGCAATAGGAAAGGGACAGATAAAATATTTCTGGTAGTCACATATGATGGTACTTCAACGGAGCTGGTTGCATCAAGATACAGTCGCCTTTATGTCCCTGTCCCCTTCCCTTCTGCAAAAATAGCCAAAAGAGGATGGACATGAAAAGGAGGCCACAGCAGCAGCTGAACTAGGGTTTAAGCACAACAATTTTCAAACTTCTGCAGATGCATTAACTGCACCCTGGCAAGGTCTTCTTCAGGTCTTCTGATAGTGTCTGAAGGTGTTGCTAAAGCAAGAATCTGCTACATTTTGTAAGGACTGTAGGTAGAAATGACTGAAAATTAAAACAGTTTTTGTGACAGATTGTGGTCTTTGACAACTTGCTCTCACCTAGAGTGGAAATGCTAAAGAAATATTTTCCAAGATTCCTTAGCAAATATATAACTGGTGAAAACTGCAGATTTGAGTCATCACATATCGTTCTCTCCTAAAGACAAAGCTCTCTACCCAAACTTCCCAGGAAGGTCCAGGGTGGTTATCACTTTGTCCTGCTTTTGAGCTACAGCTCAGATGGATTCAAAGATTTAACTCGTCTCAATTCAAAATGTTTTGCTCAGAAAAATGTTTTGCACATAAAATAGACTGAAGTTTTCAAACTGGCTCTAACCTCACATGTCAATCCAGAGTACTAAAAAGGAACAATTTGTGATTTGAGTAACTGAGCTTCAATCATCATCTTGGCACTGAGCAGTCCTCAGTAATTAGTTGAGAAGGTAAGCATTAAGTTTAAAACGTTTGCAAGCATTTTGAAAATTTAAAAATGGATTTGTTTTTTCATATATTTGATCTAAAAGAATTAATTAGCTCTATGTTACTTTAAGGTTTTTATTTTGAAGAACTGTTTCACAGTGAAATCCTGAAGCAACATTCATTCCAGATTAAGACAAATATAGCAAAAAGAACAGAAGTATGAGGGCACATCAAATACGGCAGAAGCCACATGTATATGTTCAATGTATACATTTTTAGAACATTCATTCCTTCTAATCAAGACAAATTAAGATATTTTCTTCATACCTATTTTTTCAAATGAAGGCTCAGATGACTGGGCAAACATAAAAAGATTCCAAGTGAAGGATTGCTTTGGAAGTGTAATTTTAAAAGACACAGCAGCTGCAGTTGGAAAGAATAGCTTCAACTTTTGCAACCAAAAGCAATTACAAGAAGCCCTCTATTTTTTTTTGGTTTGTCACACTTGAAAGCATATTGTGTGCAAACGTCTGCAGTCAGTCTGTTTGTACGAATCCTTCTTGCCAGAAAGAAACAAATAAAACCTTAATAGAAAGACAATGATATTTAAAGTTCATAGCAACGGTTTTGCTCAGCTACTACAAAGGTTTTACATCCTATTAAATATCGGCATTTTTCTTCTTCATAAACAGCACGCAATTGTAAACAAAAAAACCCCCAAACAACAAACCAATCAATCTCGTAGCAATATTTTAATGAGTTTTTAATGCATGATGAAAGATTTATACTTAGTCAAATATATGCCAAAAACCACATCCATCTCTTTCCAACAGACTGAGTGGGGGGACCTTCTTTTAAATCCTCACACCATCATTATCTAATATTCCTAAAGCTAGTTTCACTCCAAATGATCTTATTTGTATCAGCAATCCATTAGCTCACTGCTGACACAGTCTTCTCTGACAAGAAGCAGGACAATAATTTCAGAGCAAACCACAGACCTATGCAGAGGGT